AGAACACGTTGTCATATGGGTGTGCGATCACGTGTTTCAATGTGTATTGCATTTGATACAGCTATTCGGAATTTGTAGATGCTTATGACAGGAACTAAAAATGCGACCGAAAAATGAAGCCTTAATAGAATTTTTATTACATTTTCCATTTTTGTGGAACCAATGAGTGACCTCTGCTTTTGACTTAAGTTGTAAACAAGAAATGTTGTTGGACGTTATTAGCATACCTAGCACATAATTTAATAGCTGAACCAATATGCAGCCTGCAATGAAAATACAACTGCGTCGTATCATATTTTATTTTCAACTGCGTCGTATCATTTCGTAAAAATCATTATTTTCTTAGAAAATAAACATCTCTTTTTAATGAAATTTTAGTAAATGATGCAAAATCATATTTTGAAGTTTATGGTGAACTCTGAAACGAGTATACAATTGATTTGAAGGAAAAAACGATAGATAAAGCAATATGAACTGCGTCGTATCCACACATTTTCACAAAAATTCTGCTCCGCTTCGAGTTGCAAGTTCGCTATAACTTTTGTTTTACAAAATAGTTGTGCAAGCAACATATACCGAACGAAGCGGAAAATAGTGTAGGGTGTTAATGCATATATCTGGTTTTCAGTCATTTCACACAAAAAGAGTTATAATCAAAAACATACGTTTTTCGTTCCAAGATGGCGGCGTTTGTTTACATTTTGTAGGATACGACGCAGTTTTGATTCCCAGCCCTGTTTATGTTAGTAATCTGTTATGTAGGCCAACAAATAAACATGTTAACTCCGCATCATGACATGTACATCTGATGTATTTTAGAAAATACTGTCCGATGTTATAATAGATTTTGACCAAGTTGAAAATTTATCATCCAAACATTAAAAATTTAATTTGATAAAAAGACATTGAATTGTGATTAGTTGTTAAATTTTGTTCAATGTGGGGTCATTTTTAAGGACGTTGGATTCTGTAAACCACTACTATCTAGTGTTTTGACAGTCCAACACAAGTTTGCTTCTTTAAAAAGAAGCATGCGAGAGGTCAGTTTGCAGCTGTTGAAGATTTTTTAATTGTTCAAATGGCGGGAAAGCTGCGAACAATAGCAACATATCTATTTGTCACAATGCGATATACTTGTATATTGAAAATTTATAATGCACATAGTGTTTATTAAATGTCATAATTTAATGCTTAGTTAACCCTTTATTTTTTGTTAATTTCTGAAAATTAAAAAGGAATTAATATATATATGTAGCATTAGGATTTCAAATAAATTTTGAGCATTTTCTTAATTTTATTATTCAATGTTAAATGCATTCCATGTTGAATTGTTTAGAATAGTGAACAGACGTTTTTTATTTATCATATTTATTAATGTTACATGTAAACTTCATATCTAGGCAGTGATAAATGAAATAATGAAGATCGTTATTAACAAACTGTATAACACCCCTCTCATTTTGTTGTTGTGAATTTCGAGCATGCATGTTAAACATGTTATGTCAATAACTTGTATCATTATAAATAAATGGTAACGTTTAACTTTGGACTTATTTCCTCTTTTAATTGATATCCTGCGGCAAGCTCGTGAAATAAATGTTCTTTGTTTTCAGTCTTGAAAATAGTCCTAATAAAGTTTCCTTTTAAAAGGAAAGGCTTGCACAGTTGTGCCTTCATCCCAACATATTTAGTTGTTTTTATTTTTGTAAAAACGAATATTTTTGTCAAAACGATTTGAAATCTATTCTCTATTGTATAAAACTAATAAAGAAAATAATCAATCGTAAAAATACTAACGTGGAGATCTATCTATCATACTGAAAGGAAACAAGTGTGCACATTTTATTTCCACTTCGTTACGTGGTACCAATTAATAAGCATGTTCACAGATACGATGCGCTGTCTATAGATCATCACGTGGTAAGGTTAATGATATGCATGGCCTATTTTTAGATTACCTCACCAAGTTCAGTAGATCTAAATATAACTCGATCATGCACTAATATTCTTTGTGATTTGGACCACCCTTTGAAAACGGAATACTACTACAGTCAACATCCTCTATTGTATAAAACTAATACAGACAAAAAACAATTATAAAAGAAACTAACTTTTGAGTCTTGAAAAAGAATTGAAACGGAACAATTTCGTTTATAATTTATTACGGTTTAAATCAATAAATCAAGTAAAAATACGAATCCTATTTATATAAACAAACTGGGATTACCGAAGTAACTAAAATAGCTTAGATTTCCGTAATAATTTACGTAATATGACGGAATCGCCCGAAATGTCACGATTGCAATCGGAACTACATCGGCTATTATCATTAATCCGAACAGTGACGGAAAAGGCCGAAAAGTTGCGATTGGCACGATTGCAGCTGGTTTCTCGTTTAATCATGCACTTACAAATGTAAGCAGAAAACCACCTAACCGGAACAAGTTTTCCAAATGAAATGGCTTGCAGCCGCAAGCCAAAAAGCCATGTTACTCAATATTATAGAGTTTTGATACAGCTAACAGAACTTGATAGGGGAAGAGGTGACCTTTTGGTTAAGATGTTTGCCTTTATTCAGTACATGTTCATCACTTCATGAATTTAGGTCACATCCATCCTGATGTTGCTGAGCAGTTTAAAATAAGCAAATCTTATGCTTTATCCTTGAAACCCATTGACCAACTCGTAAACAAAACAATAAACTAGTGAAAGGTAATGGTGGTGCTATTGGCCTTATTGAAAACTGGAATAAATTGTTACTATGGATGGTATCAGGACCAGAGATAGCATGAGCTCTTCAAGAATTTGAGAGAGTGCGGGATAAGAAAAGGATAAAAAGTTCATGTTGTATTTTACAGTAAGTCTTGCGTTTTTGGCAGACATGCTGAATTCATTTTCAGTCTTGCTTCACTTGTTATACACAGAGTGAAGTGAAAAAGGTGACATTAACAACTTATAATGCTCCCCTTCGAAGAAGGGCTAATGTCAGTCTGTCTGACCGTCGGTAGACCACATGGTTTCCGCTGATTATCTTAAAAACTATTTATCACAAAATCTTCATACTTCACATACTGACTGGCCAATTGTAAATAGATTTTTTGGGTAACTAACTTACTGGGTCAAAGGTCACAGGGGCCTTAAATGGCAGAATGGTTTCCGCTCATTATCTTCAAAGCTATTTATCACAGTCTTCATATTTTATGTACAGATTGGTCATAACTAGTAAATGACCGCTATTGATTTTGGGGTCAAAGGTCACAGGGGCCTTAAATTTCAGTATGATTTCCGCTCATTATCTTGGAAACCATTTATCACAAAGTCTTCATATTTTACATATTGATTTGTCATAAAGTTCCAGTAGATGACCCCTATTGATTTTGGGGTCAAAGGTCAAGGTCACAGGAGCCTTTAATTTTCAGAATGGTTTCTGCTCATTATCTTGAAGGCTATTCATCACAAAGCCTTCATATTGCACATAGTGATTGTTCATTACTAGTAGATGACCCCTACTGATTTTGGGGTCACTAGTTCAAACGTCAAGGCCACAGGGGCCTAAAATGTCAGACTTAAAATTGTTTGATTAACATACTTTATGCCCGTTTTGGAAGTCTCTGTTGCAGAGGAAATGTTTTCATTATACTTTCCAAAACATAAATCGGAAATTTGATTATTGAATTTTACAAGAAACTTTTATTTTGATACTACTTTAAATTTAGTTTGATAACATAATATGATGCGCCAAGAAAATGTCCATTTCTCCGGCATATAATCTTTCAATAATATGACACTTTATTCAATATATATAATAAATTCTATTTTGTGAAATAATTGTAATTTATAAACATTCATTGTGCCAAAATATTAAATATGAAGTCTTTTTGAAAAATAGTTTTCAAGATAATAAGCGGAAACCATTCTGACATTTAAGGCCCATGTGACCTTGACCTTTGAACTAGTGACCCCAAAATGAATAGGAGTCATGTACCAGTTATGAACATCCACTATGTGAAATATGAAGACTATGTGATAAAAACTTTCAAGAAAATGAGCAGAAACCATATTACCATTCAAGGCCCCTGTGACCTTGACCTTTGACCTAGTGATCCCCAAATCTATAGGTACTAAGTCTTGTTATGACCAATAAAAATGTGAAATATAAATAATTTTCAAGATAATGAGTGGAAATCATTCTGACCTATAACACCCCTGTGATCTTGACCTTTGACCTAGTGATCCCAAAACAAATAGCGGTCATCTACTAGTTATGCCCAATCAAATTGTGATATATGAAGGCTTTGTGATAAATATTTTTCAAGATAATAAGCGGAAACCAGATGAACTCTCCAATGATTGGCTTTAAGTTTATAAAATATCATAACATTAAAACATAAATACATGATTTACAATGCCATTATTTAGTAGTGAGGTATCGTAGCAACCATCACGTGTAAACTCCGCATCATAACATGTACATCTAATGCATTTTATAAAATACTGTCCTATGTAACATTGAAATTTGACCCCGCTCCCAAAGCATTTTCTTTAAAAAAGACATTGAAATGAGAAGTCGTTAAATTTTGTTCAAAATGGGGTCACTTTTAAGAACGTTGGATTTTGTAAACCACTACTATCAAGTTGTGTGACAGTGCATACATAAATTCATTATAAGGTCATACAAGAGTACTTTAATAAGTTCTGTCCGTAATATACTAATAGTATTTCAAAACGCTTAATTCAATGCACTTCAATGATGCGTTCAAAAGCTAACTATATATAATGGTTTATTTTATTTGCTTGTATAAAGACCGAGAAATTTCAATTAGAATTACATGCAGTTACTTTCACTGACCAATTCACTGACCATATTGTTTAATGGATGACAAAACTGAAATTCAAATTTCCGAATATAGAAATTCAAGTTATTAGTTTTACATGATTTAATTACTCTGAATCACAAACATACTTTAGTTCCACCAAGAAATGATGCAATATGATACAAGTATGATGGAACCAAACAAGCAAAACTATTTTGACAAAGAGGGTTGTTTGCACACGTGTGTTTGTGTGTGCATGAGAGCATGCACGAAATGTTTCTCGTTAGTTAGTAATTTTCATTTCACTTTCACGTCCGTCGTTACGCTTGCGTTTCGTAACACAAATAACTAAAGCTAACATTACTCCAGCAATCGTTATGTTGATCCCAGCAACAATGAAAGGTGCATTATAACTTTCTGTCTTGTCATATAGCCAACCTGTGATTAGAATTATTATTATTATTATTATTATTATCATTTTCAAACAAAGCCTTCATGCAGTCTTCAATGTGAGATGTATCCTAGAAGGATTTTATGGTTTATGTATCGCACAACATGAATTCATAAATGATTGATAAACAAAAGTTAACATGTTAAGATATAACAATATATAATGAGGAAAAACAGCGGCCTCAAAATTTTATATGGCACTCTAAATGTAAGTGCGGCGTTTTCAAGAACGAGATGCACAATTCAACATAATATATACATATTTAAACTTGTAAGAAAATATCTATATTTACCCGCAAACGGTGGGCCAATCAGATTTGCAAAACCTTTACACATCAGTAGTAAGCCGAATGCGTTTGTTAACATTTGTTTTCCCAAGATGTCAACTATCACAACAGACATAAGTGGAATGTATATACCTGAAAAACAAAGATCTTAGATATGATGAAAGTTGATAGAATTATCAAATATTTAAAAATGTTTGTTTTAACTAATCTTTTTATGCGTTTTTATATTGATCAATCTTTCATTTTACCATTTAGCTTGTTCAATTTATTCTTTGACGGCAACAAAAATAATAAAGACGCTTACCGTAGGAGAGTCCAAATACGCAAGAGAAGGCGACGAGCCAAGTAAAGTTTGTGCATAGTGGACAAATGGCAGTTGAAACGCCAACAACTATAATTGCACTGCTGAATAACATAATCTTATTTATCTTCAGTTTGTCAGCAAGAATCCCACTAAACACTCTGCCAACGGTATTTGTTATCCCTATAATGGCGCCCAGCCATTTTGCACTTGCCGTGTCTATTCCCATCTCAATGGCACGATCATATAAAAATATGAATGGTATAAGAAGACTGAAGCTTATTAAGACGTTTGAAATAAGGTAAAAAATGAACATCACATTTTTAAATTGGGATAAATTGCACGCTTTTGACATCATTCTACATAGATTTACTGCAAGACCTTTCACTTCATGCTTCAATTTCTCATCTTTTCCGAAATTATGGCTAGAAGCGGTCTCCCTTATGCATGTCTGCAATGATCCTTCTTTGCAATGAGATATAGTATGCTCTGCAATGAAAAATAAGTATAAAACTAAATATTACAATTATTGGTAGTTTTCAGAAAAAGCACTTAATATACCTATCAAAAATTGTCTACTAATGATAAATATAGATAAAAGAGTAAACCTTACCATGTTTATCTGAATGAAAAGCTGGTTCTCCGCTGTGCCTCCTCTTTGATACAGAAGGGTACTGACACAAACTTTTCACATTGTGGAATGGTTCACGCTCGGTATCATTCCGTTGACTTGCCGATAAATGTAATAATTCCAATGATAATACTTTATCAGTTTCTAATATGTTATTTGTGTTGTTAAATTTTTCCGTTTGTGTAAAGAATTTCCTTTCTGTATCTTCACCTTGAGGTACTGGTTGCTTCTGTTTTGTAAGTGGTCTAAATAGGGCTCCACACAAAATACAATTAAGTTGAATACCCGCTTGAATGAGTAATGTTCCGCGCCACCCATATACGTCAATCAAATACTTTGATAAGGGATTTAGAATAAAAGCTCCTATACCACTCCCACAAGACGCAAGTCCAATTGCCAAAGTTCGCTTGCTTTCAAAATAATGTGCAACGCTAACAACAGCTGGGAAATACGTTAGACCGAAACCTAGACCTGAGGTAAAAAGCAGAACATGGTTTAATATTTGAACATTATGTACACTGAACAAGGCATATAGAACTGTGATTACATCTGTAAGGAAAAAATGACACATGTTTATATGAGAGGTTTTTACTTTCTATTGAATAATTTATTATCATCTAGAAATTAATTAACCTTAAGTGTTATTAAATAATCATGCTTGATATAATGTAAAAAGCAAAGGTTTCATTTACCTGAAAGTATGCCAAAACTGAAATAGAGAAAATAACGACTCGGTGAAAAAGCGCTTAGAATGAAACCAACGGAGGTTACTATAGCACCTATGATTGTTGTAGCTCGACATCCAAACTTGTTCGTCAAAACGCTGGCGATGGGTCCTGAAACAAATAAAAGTTTATTGTGAAAAAGCCGATAAGGTCTATTTGACAAACGTTTAGAATATGCACATCTACTTTGCAAATAATATAAATAAACAAAAAGAAATAGGTTTGAAAATTACGTATTGTTTTGATAGATTGATAATGTTTATTTGCTAAATTGTTTAAAATTTCATCAAATTCATTCACATTTCAGTTTAAAATAATCTTAAAATTTAAATTCCATTTTCCACACAACCTATGTCACAAATTGATGTGCAAGATAAATTCTGTTGTTTCTACGATTTTTTATTACCTATTATTAATAGCAACTAACAAACACATTTAAATTATAGTCCTTCAACTAATAAATATATTAGCCGTCAAAGCTAATGTTTGCTGATGTAGTTTTCGTAAAGTTGTTTATAATTTTATGTGTTATTTCTTTCGAATTACTTTAATCACTTTCAATCAATGAGTAGATCATGATAACTAGAATGAGTATCATACAAAGGCCAGTAGCCCAGACTGGTCCATGCTATGAAACATAAAGAAAAACTAAAAGAACAACTTATTATGTAGCAATATTCTTATACCCATTACAAGCTGAAGTCCTGTTGCCAGAGAACCTATCCAAGCTGTCTCCCCTTTACTGCCTTCATATTGATTTAGGAATTCAATATACAATATTCCAAAAGAATACAACAATCCGTCGGTTATTAAGTGAACAAAGAATGAACCAAGCACTATTATCCAACCCCATCCACCATCAGGCGATACAGTACTAATTACGTTTTCATTTTTCTCCGATTCAAGGAAATCGCCGCCTTTCTTTCCGATTTTCAATTCTGTTGTTTTCGATTCATTGCTGTCCATCAATGTCCTGATTTCGTCTTCATTTAATGATCCGTCTAAAGTCGCGTTGTTTGTGTTCATCTAAAAAATATTTATATCTTGTTTAAATTCACTGAGTCCTGGCTGTTGCGTGCCAATTTTTCGTATGATTTTTCTGTGTATAATTTCCCTCTCAAGACTTTCTTTCATTTGTTATTCATTCATGAGCGGTGATAAAGGCCCTATAAGAAGATAAATGTGTTTGAAAAATCAATAATTTGACCTTCAATATCAAGATCATTAATGAGTAAAGGTCATAATCAGTTGGGTTTTCCATGAAGTTCTTGTCCTAAGTATTGTTGTATTCAAGTTTGAAGACAATCCATTCATAAATAACAAATTTATAGTTAATAAAAAAAACAAGTAGAATTCAATAACTTGACCTTGAAGGTCAAGGTCATTGATGAGTGATGGTCATAACCAATTTAATGTTCATAAAGGTATTGACGGAAGTATTATTGTGTCTAAGTATAAAGACAATCCATTTATAATTCACAAAATTATAGCCAATTATAGAAAAAAAATCAAGCAAAATTCAAATATTTGACCTTGAAGGTCAAGGTCATTTATGAGTGAAGATCAAGTTTAATCTGACTTGTCCAAAGGGGTGTTGTATTCAAGTATGAAGGCAATCCATTGAGAAATGAAATCATAACCAACGTTAAAGTTTTCGGATGGCAAGGACCGGCAACGACAACATGACTGTAGCAATAGCTCCTTTTTTTTCTTCGAAAAAGTCGAGCTAAAAATAATGTACTTCAACATGCAGATTTAGATTGTAATAAACGTGAGCGGTTCAAGATATTTCCAGTCCAATAAAGATAGCGTAGCTAAATTAAAACGATTTTGCTGATAGTTACATTGATACATCTTAGCATATTAATACAATATGGAAATAAGGTTGTATACTTGCGATACTGAATGGTCAAAGTAATACATAGATCCTGAACCTACCTTATTTTTATTTTATCAGATTAGTGGATACAATAAGAATTTTACGACAACATAACATGTTTTTAAAAGGTAAAATGTATTGTTATTCAAATAAAAGGTCACAGTACGTAGGGATCTATCATCCTACAAAATGTTTGGCTAAGAATAGAATGATCGGCTTTTAGTTCACATTGAAACATATATACATAATTCACAATACCATTATTAAGTAGGAACGTATCGTAGCAACCATCACGTGATTTTAAAAAGAAATTTTCAAATAATCGCGTAAAACTCTGTACCCACTGACAGACGAACGAAGTAAACAGTAAAACATGAACATGACGGTTTTCTTTTGTGAAGATGATATGAAAATTTATGTTAATTATCCGTCATTTTATTTCTGAATTCGTTGATGTTAAATTACATGAATTGAATATTTATCATTTAAGATATTGATCTATTTTCTTTACTGTTTATTAAATGCGATTCATACATAAATACTAAACGTTAGTAAATTGAAATCATTTGTGACATACAATGAAAATCGTTAAATTTCAGAAGAAAATCAAATGTTTACTTGCCGTGTAGGATAAACCTGTCTTCTTCTGGATTTGTTTACACTTCTTTATATACATGTATATTGGCCAACCTTATCAACATTAAATAACCATGTCCTAAATTTAGGTCAGCAAGGTTAGTAACCTGTTAAAGGCATAGGCACTTCATGGCAAAAAAGTTTTTTTTTGATCGACCACCCGTTGTGACCGACAACCCGCCGTGATTATTATTAAATCTTATCTATAACTTACAAAGTCAATAAAACTAAGAAAAATAGATATATCTGCTGTGTATATAAGAATTTATGTACACAGTGTTAAAAAAATACTAAGTATCTATTTTCAGTCTCTAGTCTACATGTATTTGTGTTAGTAATCTGTTATGTGGGCCAACCAATTGTAAACTCCGCATCATGACATGTACACCTAATACTGTTCGATGTAACAATACATTTTGACCCCGTTGAAATATTATCCACCAAACTCCGCGCGCCGGTTACGCTACGGCCAGTATATTAAGAGATCACTGTGTGGGAGATTGCATTTAAACATTAAATTTTGATAAAAAAGACATTGAATTGTGATTAGATGTTAAATATTGTGTGACAGGGTGTAAGTTGACATCAGAAATGATATACCGTGTTGAATGGCGGCTCACATGAACAAACTGATACAATATTGATATTTTCCAGGCTAGTTCTCTTATTTCAAAACCAATTTTAAAACGAATTCAAGCAGTGCAAATAGCACGGGGGGGGGGGGGAGTGTTACACGAAGGATGGAGTTCTTATGATAACTTGTTCAGGAGTTCTTGTGATAACTGTCACGGAGTTCGTCGGAAAACATCTGTATATACCACAAAAACACTCGTTAAAATTGTTTATTTTCATATTTCCAAAATCAGATTTAGTTGCTAAATTAAACTTTAATGATTAAGCTTGTCTTACATCTTGTTTTATGTGTCAAAAACTAATTCACGGGCTATTTTTAATCGACTCTTGCTTCAAATCTGGTAGTTTTGAGTAAAATTTCCAAATTTTTTGCCAATTCACAAGTATTGACCTGTTTATTTCTGGTCTTCTTCCTTGCCATACATAATTACCTAATTATAATGCAAAATTGTTACGGCTACTCCGGCTGTCTGGCTAACTTCACGAACATTGTGGGCAACAATGTATAAGTTTCATGTCATATGATATCATGTGTAATAGTGCAATGATTTTTCTCACAGACTTGCGTTAGGTTATAGATTGAATTTATTGAAATCCATCTATATGTGACAATTCGAGAAATAAGTTATCAAACCCGGCTCTTTCTGGTTACTGTTCCGATGCGTGAGTTACAGTTTTGTTTTGTTAAAATTAATTCCCTATTGATAGTATATTTGTAAAGCATTTCCCTTATAGGCAGGACTAACTCGTCATCTATTTCTGTTATTTCAGATAGTTGATACATCATCGGAAAATTCCATCTGGATATAAGTTTAGACCTTTGACAAGGTATAGAAATTTCCAAACTTGACACCCGACAGGCGTGATCTGGCATTGCACACGGATGGATCTGATACCGGTATGTAGATTATTATACTTGTGTTCAAAAGAAATATCATGCATTCATAACATAAAGAAAACAGACAGAAAATGTATAATGATGATATATATGAACTACATATAAAGTGAGGCAAAACAATCGTAAATAGTGTGGTTGATTTTATAAAAATGTGATTTTTCAACCAATACAACAAAAGTTGCAAGACATGTACATGATCATTCACTTCCAAAAGACGATTTTAAAATGCATAACGATGCCATTCTCTTTCCATGAGTAAGAGGGTTGTGCCAATTGGCGTCCATAAAAACCTGAGCCATTAAACCTACGTTTTATTGATATTTCAATATGGTTAAGGTAGGCTTTATGTCTTCTTTTGTTTTGAGAAAACACAGTCCGATCTCAGCTAGGAGCATATAAACTAGTATACTGTATTACAATGATACAGAGCAATATAATAGTATTACAAAATACAAATATCATATGTTTAATGTTTATATTTGGTTTAAACATATTTTTATTCTAGGTAATATATACATGTTAAGCAGAAAGAAATTGGACCTTTTAATGTTTATATTTGTCACAATTTATATAATTCATAGAATTACAAATTCATTATATATAGATATATCTCTTTTTCTTTTCGTCTTCTTCAGTGCGAGCTTACTAAAGATGTCCCTTTGCCCAAGTGAAATCCTGAAAAAAAGATAGTTAATAAGATTATTAAAGGTTTAAAAATTTAATACAAAGACCCTGAAATAACAAAAGTACCATAAAAGAAAATTCCAGATCAAATGGCTGTATTCTTTCATACTGGTTTAAATTCATGACGACATTACATCAAAAATTGTCCTACAGGTCATCAGTACTCCAATCGGTGCTGGACTTCTAACATGCCGGCCATTTGACTTGACTTTAGTTTAATTATGAACATTACTGGACACTTGATAAGTTTTTAAATATTCTGGCTGTACGTTTTGTCGAGTTGGGTTTTAAATTCTCACAGACTACGTAAATTAACAAAGGAGAGACAGTTTTGAAATTGAAGTGGATATTTCAGCTTATTCTTTGAAGTAGCTATATTTCAAGTTTCGGTGGCTAGAACAGAAAATGAGTATTTGATTTGATTTCATACATCGTAACTCTTGATTATTAAGGCACAAACAAACTCTTGTGCTTAAAGTATGAACTATCTTGCGTAAAGTATGAACTATCTTAAGTTGGAGGGAGGGGAGCAAATGCGTCAAAATAATACCTGTTCATTTGTAAACATTAATGACAGGACATTTTTGGACTCTCCTTCGACAGTGTATACATAGAATCGTAATAAACCGCAATCTGAAAAAAAACAAACAAATTCATTATAGCCTTTATATGAAATTCATTGCGTCTTCTCGAGTACTTTATGGTACCACTTTAAAATTAAGCACAGAGGTGAAAATAGCGGTTTGAGTTTCCACTAATGTCTGAAAGTTTGCATGTAATGAAACATGATTTATTCGGGTTGTTAAATATATAAAGGAAATATATATGTAAAATTCCACGGAGAATTTACAAACGGCGTACGCAAGCTTTCTGTAAGAAGTCTATACATTCATTACTTGTCAATGTAAATGTCTTTCCTTATTTTTTGTGATTTTTATTTAGAAGACTTACGCTGATCCATGCAAGGGGACTCGTTGTATCTAGTTATTTCAACTCTATGAAAACTTTCCGTGTTAAGAATGATTTTAATGCCTTCCGGACGGACCACTGGCTCGAATTTCCGCGGTAAGCTGTATCCTTCGTAGGCAATGGATCCACGAGATTCGAACACTTGACCAATTGCGTCACTCAGCACAAACGATGACCGCCCTGCAATGATAATAATGTTGCTTTAGATGCATGATAGTAAAGTAACCTAAAGTCTTGATGTTCCTATGTATTCTCCAAGCAATTTATAAGTGACAGTTTTTACCCTTCTCCAAGCTGCAGAATGTCATGTGACATGGCTTTAATGCTTGTAGATGCCAGGTCAATTGCAGACTAGATTCAGTAGAGTACAGACGTGTCATATTAATAAGAAATTCTCAGGAAAATTAATAAAGTAACTTTTATTTTATTTGATTTTCAGCACAGATATATAAAGTTTGGTTATGCAGTTGTGTTTTGTTGCATATATAGGACTGGAATATTTTAGAATGACATCCTGCAAAGACTAGGTATAGAACTCAGCTCAAAGACAGGGGCACTAGGGTGGCGGGGACAGTAAGTCCTGACATACTTGTAATATGATTGGTAGTAAGAATGCTTCTTAAGAATTTTATTCCAAAGATTGTTGCAACATAAATTCAAATCCTGGACTGTTGAGCCATACACGTCGATAATTTATCAACAATATTGAATTTAAAAAGCAACATGCTGAAATGTTGAAGAGTTGTTCTGGTAGTTTTCAAGTATGGAAGAAACAAATGGTCAGTCATCCGGAAATATTTCAGAGGAAATCGATGGGGACGGCAGGATAGAAATGCCCAATACTTTACATACTCGGTCAGAGAGTGAGAAATTAATGTCAGTAAAACTACATGGGGAAAAAGACTGTTACAGCAGATACACGTATTTCAGGAAAAGTGCAGGGTTGCAACCTTTATTATTTTAAAGATCGTATAGGTCTACAGTCTTGGATGACCAGAAGCCGAAATTCTTGATAATTTCAGAGCCGTCTAATAAAAGAAACATACTCTTTTTTTTTCTCTACCCAATATATCTATGTGGCAATTATATTTCTAGTGTTAACTGCTCAAGTTAATATTTGACATACTGGATACTGCAAGCATATTTAACATGAACCAATAACAGTGAATTTGTACCCCGAAGAATTGCAAGCCAACTTTAACTTACGTGTAAGAATCGTTTCATTTTCCAATTAATTTGACACTGAATTCAAGTTCAAGTGGTATCTTAAAGTCATGTAAGCGGCTATATTAGAGTACCTACCCCTGCCATCTAGGGAGAATTGGACTGGTAATGACGACATGAACGCTGCTCCATTTTCTAGACTTCCGTTTACTACCACGTGGTATTCAAAGTTGGGGTCAAGGTCATTTAGAATTGCATATGGACGATCACCAATGTTTATTGCCTCGTATGATCTTGAATTAAGCGAGTTTCTGTAGGAAAAGACGGTCAAATTTGACAGCTGAAAAAAAATATGTATAGGGAATTAAATTCACAGGTGAACAAAGTGAATAAGGATTGTTATGTTTTTTATTATACTTGTAGCAGTGCTTGTTTAATATGGTGGCTGATTTGGAACGCTTTTGTGCGTCGTGTTGTCGCTAGCGAAAGCACGACAATGCGCCAAACGGCGCGTTATCAGACTTTCGTCTTGTCGTCCGGTCGCTAACGATGCACGCCAAACAGCACGTTTCGTGCAGCGTGTTGTCGCGATGGCACATTGTCGCTCAAATCAAAGGATTGGCGATAGTGCCAAGCGACAGGGCGACATCGCGACAACGCGCCGCACGACAACGCGCCGAATGGCGTGCTTCGCTAGAAACAGGACGACAGTGCGACAACGCCCCGTTGGTAATCGCTATTGACCCACCATTAGCGGTAGGTACTTACGGGGACACCAGTGAGAAGAGGTTTCGGTAGAAACCGAAAGGTTACGGTAAAAACCGTAACTCCGCCCTCTCTTATAGAAAAGCCGGGATCCGGGGTGGTATTAAACATATTGTAATCCCGGGAATTGACAGCCTGTTCTCGGTGACATCTACACAGAATCAGACTTGTTATATTCAAATAATTTTACACCTATCAATATATGAGTATATTGTACCTTTAATAATATTAAAACAAACGTTTCAATAGGACAAATGATCATTTTCCCTATATACGTGGGTAGACAGACGTTTCACTATTGAGACGGTTCACACCAAGACGTTTCACTCCCAATTGAAGACCCTTTTTATACCAAAATTATTTTGATACTTATGATATACTAAAATAGACCTAAAATTTTGAATTGAATTGAACCAAAATAGTCCTTAAATTTAATAAAAATATATTAAAAAGGGGGGATTTTACTTTTTTTGTCAAGTACTTTAAGTTCTATCATTTCAGTTATCTTATCTTCTTTATTGTTGTTTCGAAATAAGGTATTTTTCTATTCCTGGATTCATAGGTGCAATTATCACATTATTTCACTTAAAGAATTTTTTTGATTAAAATAACACTTTAATATAACTTAACTATTTGATCTTTTGTAAACATGGACTCATAAGGCAATTTTAATTTCAAGCATAACAAACTTGTTACAACAATTAACTGTGAGTAATGTGTTGTTTTGTTGGGATAAAAAATGTTTTTATTTTTATTTAATGCTAGTATAGTGCTTTTGCGATATATGTCAAAAATTTTAATGGCCATTGAAATCAGAAATATCTTTAAATTGAATTGCAAGTAAGCATTTGGACTTTTTCGATATTTGCCATGTATAATCACTTATGCAGAAGTTTCTGTGTTTAAATTGGCTGTTGTCAAAAAATATTTTAATGGTCCAATAAACAACTGATCAGTAAACTGTTGATGCCTAAGTGCAGTGTTTATACAACTGATTTAATAGTGGTGTCAAACTGTTAGTTGATGGTCTCAGTGTTTATACAACTAATTAGGTGATGAGATAACACCACAATTACTTTAGTTTGTTTAATGGCTACTGTTTAATAAATTGATGAAGAAATTAATTTTTAATATAATTTATTTTATATACATGTTTCGCATTTCATTGTTTAAGACTTACAAAAAGTAATCATTATATTTAATATATAGATATTTTTTTATTATTTGAATATTATTAAGTACTTTATACTGGTGGTGATTCAATATTTAAACTGCGTACTTAAAGTATGTCTTTTTGTTCTTTTTATGCTATTCTATTTTTTTTATTTACTTTAAATAGAATTTTCTCATGTTGTTACAATTATCAGCTTATAATAAAAGTGATATTTCAGAAATTTGTCTTTATTTACACCTCTTTTAACTCAATCCATAATTAAAAGAGTAATCTTCTAATAATTCGTATTAACAATACCATTGAAATCAACAGAATGAAACATTAAATTGAATTTCCATTTTAATTTGTTTGATATAAAATGAATTAAAATCTTGTTAACTTTCCTACTAAACATCTCTAAAAATTGAGAGTGAAACGTCCATACAATTGACAAAATAAGAGTGAAACGTCTAGGTGTGAACTGTCTTTGGAGTACGTGAAACGTCTCAATAGTGAAAAGAATTTCGGACATATTATGTTATATCCCCTGGCGTCCGTCTGTCCGTCAGTCCGTTATCAATTTGGTTTCCGGAGCATAACTTAAGTTCCATTTGGCCCACAATATTTAAACTTCATAGGATGATTGTCCATATTGGGTAGAATTACCCTATTGATTTTGGGGTCATAAGGTCAAAGGTCACTATGACCTTAAAACTGAAAACAGTTTCTGGAGCATAACTTAAGTTCCATTTGGCCCACAGTGTTCAAACTTCATAGGAGTTTTCCCATAGAATAGAAATCCCTATTTTTTTGGGGCACAAGTCAAACCCAAAGGGTTTCATTACCTTAAACTGAAAGAAATTCCAGAAAAATAACTTTTTTTCAATTGGCCCACAGTTTTCAGACTTAACAATTGTCACTTTGGGTTAAAACCCCCTATTGACTTTGGCACGGGGCAAAGTCACTTTTACCTTTTAAAAAACATTTTTTGGGAAAAAATTAAAGTACTTTTGCCTCTGTTTTAAACTTTATAGTAGTTTGTATTTTGGGTAAAGACCCCAATGTTTTTGGGGTCAAAGGTAAAAGGTAAAGGGTACTTTTACCTTAGAATAAAAAGTTCTGGGGCATTTTTAAGTCTTTTGGCCCCACAATTTAAAACTGCAAAGGAAATTTTATTTAAGAAGTTATACTTTTTTTTAATTTCCCATGTTTACAAATGTGTATTTTACTAAAAAAAAATCACTTTCGGGCATATAATTGTTAAAATGTGTAAACATATCTAAAGTTTATCATTTGGAACATGTGAACCACTCATATCCAATGATATACCCGGTACATGTTTTTTTTAATGTGAAATGTTTTAAAATGTTATTAGAATTCTTAGTTTCTAAATTCGAAACATTTCTATAATTGCTATGTATATTGTATATCACAAACGCTTACATGTATTGTCTTATGTAAATGATAACAAAACCTAATAATTTTGATTGTTTGAAACATTGTATGAAAAACTCTTTTATGTATGTTCAAGATTATGTTTCTGTTCAATTAAAAACAGAAAATAAATGTTTGAATCGTAACGTTTTCAGATTTTCCTTGAAACCTATTGACAAGCACCATATAAGAATACAATGTCATCGTTCAGTACAAATAGGATTGTACAATAATGAATAACAGAATCTACTAAAGTGTTAAAAACACGTTAAATTAATAATTATCTATTTATAAAGTATATATGTACATGTTGCACTCTTAATTTGAATCTATGGTATATAATTTGAGTATTAAATGATTAAAATTGAATCTAGGTGAAAATACCATTTATCACATATATATAATAAAACGTTTACAGTAAAAAAAAAGTTTTTTTTTCGCTGACGCACAATTAGTGTAAAATCAACAAATAACACGGTTTAAATAACAACAAGTTGGTATTTAACGCAGTTTTACGTAATATCGTTTTAATGGGTTTATTATAGTCCTGTGCTATATGTATATGCAAAAACATGTACTCATAAATTGTAATGTATATAAATGTGTAATGTACATGTATATAGATGTGTACAAAAAGGTTGCACTCTGAAATAACATCTATTTAAGGTATATATGTATGTGCAAAAACGGGTTGCATTCTTACATTTAATCTATATTAAAGGTATTTATACGTATGCAAAAACAGGTTGCACTCTTAAAGTGTATATAGATGTGTACAAAAACGGGTTAAATTAACTGTTTTTAGGGTATATAGGTGTGTGCAAAAACGGGTAAAGAATCTATTCTGGCTATATAGTCTATTTTGGCCATGTAGGTGTTACTCTTAAATTTAATATTTATAAGGTATTTATAAATACGTGTACAAAAATGGGTTGCACTCATAAATTCATTTGTATAAAAATCTTGAAACAAAGTGATCCCCCGGAAGCATTAATCACAACAAAATTTATTAATAAGTGCAGCACCCCTCACGCCCTTTAGCATCGGTCTCACTTCTCAGTACCGAAGAACCAGAAATATCACTGTATGGGCAACTTATAGCTGCCACGCTAACAGTATTTATGCCTGTCCAAAAAAACTGGTTGCCCTCTCAATTGTATTTAAAAAGTTGTATATAGTTGTGTTACCAAACGGGTTACACTCTTCAACTGAATATAATTTAAGGTATTTATGAATGTACACAATTGGGGTTGGCCACTGTTATATAGAATATATTTTGGGTATATAGGTGTGCACAAAAAACGGGTTGCATTTTTAATTGAATCTCTTTAGGGTAGATAGGTGTGTGCAAAACAGGTAACTCTTACATAGAATCTATTTCGTATATAGGTGTGGTCAAAAACGGGCTGGACTCTTAAATTGAATCATATTGAGGCATATTAAGCTTGTGCAAAAACGGATTCACCTCTAAAATTGTATATCATATTTGCTAAAACATTATTAAGCCAAAATATCATATGTCATTTAATATATTAATACGATAAAACATTTTTCTTTCCAAAGGAGATACATAATAATGTTTAGACGCTTCTAAACTCTAAAAGTTTTTAACTCACTGCTTAATTTTCCATTTCACTGATTATAGCGAATAATAATCTAAATAGCAAAGAGCTTTTGTTGAAACAGTTCGCAAATTTATTGTTTTAAACAATACAAAAATGCAAACAAATTTGTGATTGATTCAAATTTTCAAGTATAAGGTTATCTTAACTAACAGGGGACTAATGATGGGCATAGATTTTTCTAAACTATTAGAATATATTTCTATTCTATATCATTTTCTTCCGCGCTTCATTACCGTTTTGGCGGAGTTTGCAAAAACACTCTACTGTACACTGTATTGAGCAAAAACGGGTTGCAAAAAACAGCTCTCTTCAATATATGCACCTTTAAATAATTATGCCTAATAAAAATTCATATTCATAGTGAAAGCAAAAACCCTGCGTTGGTTTTTATTTACTCTGCACAGGTATTATAAAACATCTAAAATTACTCTTAAATAACAACTATTTTACAGGATTTTATTTATAAATAAACAGAGTTTATGATTGAATGCGTCTAAAGTATTTCAGGAATGAAACAATTTAGTAACCTTTAACCTTCTCATTATGTGACAGGAATGAAAAATTTAGTAACCCTACACCTTCTTATCATAAGGGCGGAGCTACGGTTTCTACCGAAACCTCTTCTCACTGGTGTCCCCGTAAGTACCTACCGCTAATGGTGGGTCAATAGCGATTACCACGCCCCGTTTGGCGCGTTGACAACAAGACGAAAAGGCTATAACGATCTAGGTTGTGTTGTCGCTATCTACAACGCGCAAAGTGTACCAAATCAGCCACCATAGATAGTGTTTCGTGGTCAAATGTTTCATCATTAACGCTCACCGCTGTAGGTCCAAATTCCATTTAGGACATTGAATAAAGAAAGCTATTCAGATAGCTGTTTTAAAGTCGATGATTTTAATTAGAATAAATTGTCTTGACGTTTTAAATATTGTTTATGCTATCATACCTCTGCAGCATATTTTTCTGGTATTTTCCACTGAACAAAAGCCTTGCTGGAACCGATCTGCTGAATAAAGATTCTGCCTAACACTGGAAAAAAACATGTAAAACCATCAAAACAGTTCAAACTCGGCAAGTTATGTATGCCACCTGTAAAAGTCAGACGAGCTTCCTTACCATCTATGCAATAATATGCTTGGTATTCACGAAGATTAAAAATGTATTTTTATTTTTCCGAATTCAAAATAAGAAAAGACCGTTACAAAATTAGAAGCACTAGGTTAGTACAGTAAAACCTGCTTAATGAGGCCAGCAAGGGACTGAGATAAATTGACCGCTATAAACAAGTGTCCAAAACTGTATTTGATAAGACTTGTTCCAGTAATGATATATATTTGAACATCAGGTAATTCAAACACTGAAAGTTCGTTGGTTATATCTTTAAGACTTTAAATAAAATTCAAATACAATGTACAATGTACATGATACACATGTATAGACCTATAGTTATTGTTTTTCACAATGAATCCTATTTCTATAAGGTAGTTTTTCCATGTATGTCTCTATTTTTCTAATTATTTCTTGATGTGATCTACATATTAACGCTAGACATTAGGATCTGATGGGGACCAATAGTAGGTCACCCCTCTCGTGACCTCTCGGGATAAAAGTTTTGTTCTGCTTTTTACCTTTTTCAACGTTATCAGATACTGGTCCGGACGGATGTTCGCAGTAGAACTCGCAGCACTTGCCAGGTACACGTTTCAGGTTTTGGCAATCTGACTCTGGGGTAACGCAACTGATACTTCTACATAAAGTTGGGTATCCGTTAGAACATGTGCACGTGAAGCATGTGTCAGAACGTGGTTGATATGGCTCGCCGTTACCAACAAAAGTACCGTCGTAGTTACGGCAACCACCTGTTCAAACAAATACTAAAATTATAATACTAATAATACTTGTAATAATAATAATAATAATAATAATAAATTATTATTATTATTATTATTATTATAATAATAAAATATCGTACAAAATACATTGTACATAACATTTTTAATTTTGAATTTACATAGAATACGTTAAACTAAATTTACAGTCCTTTTATGAAATTTGGAGCGTGCGTTACATATTCTAAAACTAGAGACTGCTTTTGATATTTTGACGACCGTGTTCTAACCGACATTGATTTTAAAACATATAGCGGATGAAGACATAATACATAATACAAACCATCAAGGTCTAGTTCAACAGATTCAATCTCTTCATCCGGGCATTCAAACCCACAACACGTTCCGGGTATAAGCTTGTAGTTTCTACACGTTGGTTCATCACAAACGACCTGTGTACAAAACCCTGCCCGTCCATTTACACATTCGCAGGTTTTACAGGGGTCTGTGGAATCAGGATGGTACATCTCCCCATTAGAAATCATCACACCCATATGATCTCTACAAGTCCCTGTGGACAAAAAAAAAACATTTGGTGTGTTAAACTGGTTTCAATCCGAGTAACTGTAGGGAATCCGTTTAATCAAATTTTCATGATTTTTTACATGTACAGTACCAATAAAAAGTTAAGTAGCAGAACATTTAATCATTAACATGCTGGATTTGTGACATAGAGCTACCATCCATTCAAAGTTGAACACTTAACCTGCTGAAAACCTTTAATGGACATGTCCAGCTTCCATTTTTGGAACTTTTCATTATCAATTTTAGGGATTTTAAGATGAGAACTGGAAACGTGTCAGCCAACAGTATAGAGCCTGGTCAGGCTGGCCTGGTTTTACAGGCTGGCCAGGCTCTATGCTGGTGGCAAAGGCTAACCACTTTCAGTTCCCCAGCTGTTGAAAAATTAAAGCCACATTATGCCTAAGAAACCTAAAATTGTTTCCCCCTTAAGAATGGGCAAACAATATTTTTACAACGTTGGTTTTAGAGCATTATTATTATTATTGTTGTTATTTTCATTATTATTATTATTATTATTATTATTATTATTATTATTATTATTATATTACATGTATTTCTTACTTTATTTGCCATTTTAATTATTAATTTATGATATCTGGTATACGGCCTGAAATCATTGCATACCTTCGATATTCGATGGTTCCGGAAGCGGGGGTAAGCACGTGTAATTGCAGCAAATATCACGTGATGAAATATAGTCCTTACAGGTTGGTGCCTGGCATGCAACCATCATACATCGGCCACGTCTTCCATTATCACATACGCATTGCATGCAAGGATCTTCTGCCGGTTTGAATATCTGACCTGACGCCACATTGAGTCCATCTCGGTCAGTGCACATACTGGCTTCAGTGCCGTCCTCTGTAGCAAAAGCAATACAAGATTATAATCATTATTCTTCAGTGATATAGTTTCTAGGCACAGCAACAATGGCTACTTCATGCATATTAAGACTTTTTTTAGAGAGAAACTGTAATTCAATTGTCATTTGTGCATAACGGACTTGAACATACTAAGTACCTTAGTAAAACCACATATTTTCCTCTATCAAACGTAAAATTTACCAAAATTTAGAAATAGGCTTTGTCGGGGTTGGGGTGCTGGCAGAACAGACGGTGCTAGCCTGTATTTACCTGTTTCTGGTACACATCTGTAATCGCAACATTTCTCCTCATTTTTCACCCGCCGTTGACCAGGAGAACAATATATAGGTATACAGGAAACAGATCTACATCTTACACCTACACCTTCAACACACGTGCAATTCGTGCACAGGTCTCCACCATGGTTGTATGTCTCGCCAAATTCAGAACGCACGCCCAAATCGTCAACACATCCGCTCGGGATTGAGGGACCTATAGGGGTAAAATGGAAGTAAAGCATAGGCTGATTGCCCTGATCATCACTATAACCGCATGATATAAACAGTCAAATCATCTTAATATTTCTTCGACCATTCAGATTTCGAAATAATAATTACTCAATACGGAGTGCACATTGATATTATAGTTACAGATTAGTCAGCTTGCTGGCGTTTTAAGGCTGATTGGGGGTCACTTTAATGCTATGAGGGCAGAAGTATTGTGTACTTTTTCTTATCATACCGTACCATAAAGCGCGAGACGTGCAATCTCGACATTGTGGGTTCGATTCTCAGGCTGGCAAACTAAAATTAATATTGAGACTTTAAATTTAGTCCCGGTGTATGAATGCTGAAAAAACTTGGTACGTTAAAGAACCAGGAGACTCTTCTGGCATAAGAGCATCTTTCTGATTCTTGCACTATCCTCCAAATTCTAAATTGAGTCATACTTTTCTGGAGGACTCGGTGGGTAACAGGTGGCGAGTAGATAGATGGGTGGACAGACAGACGGATGGACAGACAGACAGACATACATACATACATACATACATACATACATACATACATACAGGGAAGACCTTTATTTACATGTAGTCAGATTAGGATAAATCAAGCGTTTAAAAAAAAGAAAGTATCCCAGGTGATCGAATTCATCAGACTAAATCTATGCTAGATAAAAATTATTCATGTTTGATACATTCCATAAATTTGTGCAGCTTTTGAAATTTTCAAGAACTATTCATTTTTATGCATTTAAGCAATTACCTTGTTGCACTGAGACTTTAATAGGGGTTCCATAGGCCGATCCGCGGTTATTTGTTGCCACACACATATATCGTCCACTGTCGCTGGCGCTCACACCCTCAATTATAAGCTCACCTAAAATGTAGAGATGCAAATTTTTAATGAAAATAGTATAAATCTTGTTTTGACAATCTTGCATTGATACTCACGCTGTATTTCTGCTACTCTGCGAAAAATCGGCCTCGGCGGACAATCATGTGGCGCGTCTTGGTATCAAGCAAAGACTTCAATCAGAACGCTGTCGTTCTTGAACTTTCTGCATGCTCTTTTCACTTAAATACTTTAGCCCTATGATTATATTGTCCTATTGTCATGAATGTTGTATATTTATTTTGAGTATATGAAAAGCAATCTTGAATAACATGTTTTATATAAACCATATGGTAAAATTTTTACATTGCTTACCATCGTCGGTAACTTCTATTCTGTCGTTTGTGTCGTCATCACTGGCGTCATCAATACTGAGGTCAATGAAGTCATCTTTGATCCATCGCCATGTCGGTGTGCTTTTTTTGTTTGCCAAACTTTCACATTTCATACGGACGGTATTTGGGTCCGTCGAGGGTAACATGTAATCATCTCCACTCCTTACAGGGGTGATATGCGGGAAGTTCTTGTGGAGCCCTATATTTGAAAAAGACAAGAAAATATTTAAGAAGTTTTCAGCATTGTACGTTAAACTAGTGTAGAGCCCATATACCAACGTAGACAGTAGGCGCGGACAGGGTGACTCTAAACCTGTTGTGATTTTCTCTTACTATAATATTCAAATATAATCGTTTTCAAATAATTCTCAGTAATATCCCTTGTTTCAAAATGTGTATCCCGGTTATTTGACACAGGCCTTCTGTTGAAAGTGAAATACATACATGCGCCGGAGGTTTTGTGTTTCGAATACTTTCTCTTGATGTTATTTTACATAACACTACTCGAATTGGCTACTTGCATGCGCCGGTGAGTTTACGTTAAAAACGTTTCCCTTTTTCGAAATTTGTATACCGGTCATTTTACAAAGGCTTTATGTTAAATTCGTACACGTGCCGGAGGTAGGGGTGTTTTGTGCATTTACTTTTTTCAAAATTTGTAATTTATTAGGGGAATGGCCCATAACTGAAAACGTAGAGACTATATGCGGAATATAATCAATGTTGGAACTCATATAGTAGCGCTAAAGTAACTTTTCTGCAAATCGTTTCTTAAAATATCTTCCTTTAAATCACCTATCCCTTTCAGAACTCAAATAAACATTACTTACGATGAACATTGATTTATATACCATAATCCGGATAAAAAAACAAGAATGTGGTATACTTACGTTTTGATGACATCACTTTTAAATTAACACTAATCGTTTCCTGTTTCCCTTCAAACTCTATACGACAAGAGAACGTCTTCTTGTGCTTCTTAATGTTTGCTGCGTCAATTCTTAGCACACTTGTGACGTCATTTATTCTTCTTATAGTGACCTCATCTTCTATTTCGTCCAGACGTCTACCAGATTTGTACCAAGAAATATCAGCCCCGGGAATGTAGCTCACGCACGTGAAAATTGCGGGACTATTTTCAGCGACTTTCTGAGATCTAGGGTAAACATTTGGAGGAGTGCTCCATGGATCGTCTGAAAATAAGAGGTGCATAGCCTTAGAATGCGGTTAGCTTGGTGCCATTTAAGTATTGAGTAAATGAAGTCAATATCTCGGATATATTTATAGTTTCTGCAGAGTTCGGCTTTTTTCCGTATATTGAAGAAAAAGCCATTTCTGTATTCCTATTTTAAGAGACGCTCCTTGGTCTTGAAACGACACGGAGGCGGACGAAATATGTCGATTTTTCCCGAGCTCATGAAGAAAAAGGCCATCTCTGTAGTTTCAATATACAGTTTGATAGAATAAACTTAACGTTATGAAAAAACAGGCGATAAGGGGAAAGTATGTAAGCAAATAGGTCTAGATAAAGTACGTAAATGTATCTGAATGACTTGATAGATGTGAATTAAAAACCATTAACTATTTGAAATAAAAACTAAATGACTTGATATATATGTGAATTGAAAACCATAACTTTATTTAAAATAAAAAAAACCTTCAAAAAACTGTTTGCAATTTGTATTTATCTTCAGAAAAGTCTCTCTTGACTTAAAAACACGTCAAATATAATATTTGGACGTTTTAAAGAATTGTAATTTTGATTTTAACCTTTGATAGTATCACCAAATTTGCACTAAAACATACCGTATTAACTGAGTTCTTTTAAGTATCTTACGTAGAAATATAGATGATATTAAAAGAGAAAATACCTGCTCCGACAGAATCGTAATTCCAACAAAACAGCAAAATTAACAGAAAATAAAATCCAGACATCTCTGAAGGCTACTGTAGTGTTTAACAATTAATGAAATAAAAACATTGGTTTTTAAAACTCCGTACATTCACGTCCTTATATACTAACAGACGAGAGCCGAAACTCCAAGTTGTTTTCGTGGTCAAACGGGTCAGTATTTATTTATTTTAAAGTGTTACAAAAAGCTCTTAACCCCGGATGTCACTTCCCGCTATTAATAGACAAAGAGATTTATCGTAAACAATGCTTGGCTTGTTAAACGTCGATTTGGAAAGAAAGTGTTGACGGAAAAACAAGATTAAGACCGCCAGACTGGATTTTATTTGTCGATATATCCTGATGCATTGTTTGTTCACAAGATATCAAATGTTTGAATAAGGCCAATCTGGGGACAATAAAACTGCCTTTATTACAAATTTAGTCTTAAATTTTACGAGTATTTATGTCTATCCGTTGCGCAGACGATATTTTGAAAGGCTTTTGATAATAGACAAAACACTTTTAGTGTCTGTATTAGTTTACTTTTCGAAAAAGATGTTTATTATTTTTTATATTCTTTAAATACGAGCTTATTGACTTGACTTGTGTTCATTAATTTTATTAAATATTATTGCAGAAGGAATTAAGGTTCAAAACTATCGCCTAAATAAATACACGAGGCGAAATCTATACCTGCAATTATTTCAAGGTCACATCATTTATTGAACACCTTATTGACAGAACACTCCAGATAATTTTGTCCCACAATGGTCATGATATTTGGCCAGTAATACTTAAGTAGTATTATTATTAGTACTGTAATATACCAGAACAGAACATTACTACATTTCTTTTAGATTTGAATCAATTTTATAGATGTTTGTTTGTTTTGGGATTTACGTCACATCGACACAGTATAGGTCATATCGCGACGTTCCAGCTTTACTGGTGGATGAAGACCTCAGGTGTCCTTCCGTGTATTATTTCAGGCACGAACGTGCACCAGAGTAGAACCACCGACATTCCGTAAGCTAGCTGGATAGCTTCCTCACATGAAAGAATCCAGTCCCTGTCGGGATTCGAACCCACAGCGGTAAGGGGCAAGTGATTTGAAGCCAGCGACCTTAACCACTCGGCCAAGGATGCCCCTTTTATAGTTGTGATGCAATGGTATATTTCACAGGGGTTATTATACATACATTTTACAAATATATCAGGAAAGTGAATTATCAGAAACACCGAGCTTATTGGATTAAACAAAAACACCAATTCATGATTTTATAGCTTTAATTTATCAAATATAAAAATAATCAATGCTCTAGTACATTTTATAAAAAACAAGATCAGTACATCAATATATTAAACAGATTTCTATTTTCTATATTGAAAGCCAACACAGATTAGTCTACACCAAAAATAGTCAACAGTAGAAAACATAACTATTTATAGCTGTTTAAATATACAATAATCTTTCATTCTAACCATCTTCCCCTACCCCCTTCCCCACCCACTAGTGACTTAATTGTTCCGTATTGAATTGTCCAATGAAGGGAAATGGAATTTTAATGCAGGAATACTTAATTTAAAGGCTACATACTATAGAAAAATTATGTGTTTTTTTATAAGCTTATGGACGATTCTTGAAAAGTTGTAACATAGAATGTCTATGTTTTTTAACCGTAATAACAAACAATAAATATTGTATGTAAACAGAATTAATTAACTGCTGCAGAGCAAAATATTATGCTTCCATTTTCAAGTAGGATTTTAAATGCTTAGCAATGATTTTCTGCATGCCCCATTTGCTCTTCAGGAAGTATACAAACACATTTCTTTTATACATGTTTTTTGAAAGTATTCTTTTTTCAAAATTTAAATAACAATTTTTGCAGCAAATATATAGCTTTAAGGTTAAGAAAGCTATGGATATGATTAAATGTACATTAAGTTCACATTGGGTTTGATTTTAATACTAACCATAGGAAGTCACTAAGGCTGTTTACTAATTAATCCATTGATAAAATCTATCTATAAAATAGCGTGTGTAAGAATCAATAATTTACTTTTAATACTGATATATAAAACTAAAAACAAAAAGAACTTGTATTTTGAAATAAATTTCTTCACAGAAACATTTTACAGTGTATCCGCAAACAATACATGTTGACAGTATTACTTCTTCTTTGATCACCACTGTAATGTCCTGACTAACATTGTTGGTTATATACTTATTTAAAACCATAGGTTATATTCAAAAATAAATTACCGTATTAAAGTCTTCAGTAAAGACTATATAGCCTTTTAATACCCCTCCCCCCTACTCCCCCCCCCCGACAAAAAAATAAATAAATAAATAATAAAAATGACCCCCCAGCAAATTGTTCAAACAAACAAGTTTTTGTATTTTTAGACACCTACAAATACCTGTTCCAGTGTTGACCACTCCTCTAGCCTAAAGTACTAGATTGTGAAGTTAAAACACAAGGATATTAGTGTTGACTTTCTACAAGGTGAAATCATATTCTTCACCCATCTATAGCTCACTCAGATTTAGTAAACTAACCAACTGCCTGTATACCTAATATTCTAGAGAAAGAGGGTTATAATAAAGCAAAATATCTTGTTGCACCTAGCTCCCCTTTTTTACCTTTAAGCCTCACTTCACTAAATATCTTAAATGGAATAGCCCATCTTTCAAACTGGTCAAAACCATTCATAACTTCTGGGGAAAATTTCAAAATATATACTGACTAAACAGCAAACAGTGCAGACCATAATCAGACGGCATAATCTGTGCTGGGTGAACTTGGTATGCACTGGTCGCATGGGTAGAATTTGTTGGCAACAATAAGCTAAGAGCTACAAAGTAAGTTGACAAAATATCCCAAATTTTCGCCAAAGCACATGTTGGATGCAAAACCTTAATAAACATGTCTATATGCAAATAATAATGTGTTTATATGTGACATAAATGGACAAAGAATATAACTGAATTAATGATGATCTTTTTTTTTTAAACATAATAATTGTTTTTCTCATGCCCCATTTTATCAAAATCCCTGATTAAATTACAGGGTTAGTAAACATATCAACAACATAGTACAATATCTATACATTTTACAATATTTACAGCTTATATATATATCCAGATTATTTACAAATAAATAACAAATATATTGACATAAAAAAGATATAGCCCAAAAATAAATTCAAGTAAAACAAATATAGTGGACGGACTAAGAGAGATTTTACAACCCATAATACAATAGTAGAGAATGAAGTAAAATAAACAACAAGATATTATATAATATAATAACAACCTGTAATATAAGATAAAATAATTTCAAACAATTGTCTACATTAAAAATGCCTATCTTTCAATGATTTTTTAAAAAAAGAATTAAATATCAAACATCACTATTCCAGAATTAAGGAGCCGACATTATACCATCTGTATACCAATATCATACCATCTGTACACCAGCATAATACCAGCTGTATACAAATATAATACCATCTGTATATCAATATCATACCATCTGTACACCAGCATAATACCATCTGTATACAAATATAATACCATCTGTACACCAGCATAGTACCAGCTGTATACAAATATAACACCATCTGTATACAAATATCATACACAAATATAACACCATCTGTATACAAATATCATACCATCTGTACACCAGCATAGTACCAGCCGTATACAAATATAACACCATCTGTATACAAATATAACACCATCTGTATACAAATATCATACCATCTGTACACCAGCATAGTACCAGCCGTATACAAATATAACACCATCTGTATACAAATATCATACCATCTGTACACCAGCATAATACCAGCTGTATACAAATATAACACCATCTGTATACAAATATCATACCATCTGTACACCAGCATAATACCAGCTGTATACAAATATAACACCATCTGTATACAAATATAACACCATCTATATACAAATATCATACCATCTGTACACCAGCATAGTACCAGCCGTATACAAATATAACACCATCTGTATACAAATATAACACCATCTGTATACAAATATCATACCATCTGTACACCAGCATAGTACCAGCCGTATACAAATATAACACCATCTGTATACAAATATCATACCATATGTACACCAGCATAATACCAGCTGTATACAAATATAACAACACAATCTGTATGCCAATATCATACCATCTGTACACCAGCATAGTACCAGCTGTATACAAATATAACACCATCTGTATACAAATATCATACACAAATATAACACCATCTGTATACAAATATCATACCATCTGTACACCAGCATAGTACCAGCCGTATACAAATATAACACCATCTGTATACAAATATAACACCATCTGTATACAAATATCATACCATCTGTACACCAGCATAGTACCAGCCGTATACAAATATAACACCATCTGTATACAAATATCATACCATCTGTACACCAGCATAATACCAGCTGTATACAAATATAATACCATCTGTATACCAAATATCATACCATCTGTACACCAGCATAATACCAGCTGTATACAAATAAAATACCATCTGTATACAAATATCATACCATCTGTACACCAGCATAATACCAGCTGTATACAAATATAACACCATCTGTATACAAATATAACACCATCTGTATACAAATATCATACCATCTGTACACCAGCATAGTACCAGCCATATACAAATATAACACCATCTGTATACAAATATCATACCATCTGTACACCAGCATAATACCAGCTGTAAACAAATATAACACCATCTGTATACAAATATCATACCATCTGTACACCAGCATAATACCAGCTGTATACAAATATAACACCATCTGTATACAAATATAACACCATCTGTATACAAATATCATACCATCTGTACACCAGCATAGTACCAGCTGTATACCACCATCTGGTTTAAACATTATACCATCTGTATACCGAAATAATCCTGTCCAAATACCAACATTATACCATCTGTATACCACCTGCATACCAGCAATATATATCTGTATACCAATATTATACCATCTGTATACCCATATTATATCTCCTGTATACCAGCACACCAATATTTTACCATATGGTAATTTATTATTATGCTCCTGATGAAGATTCAGTGCAGAACCGAAAACTGCAAAAAAATAAATTTCCAAAAACCAAAGTATTTTTTTCTCTCTAGGTTTTGAAATTTATTCTTACGCGCTTATAACACAATAACTTCTCAACACTAGCTTCACTTTATCAGCAAACCTATGCAAAGTTCAGTTCTGGTTGGTTCCAGGAACGGATTGGAAAGTGTGTTTATAAGCTAATAGCTTCCTATACAATCGAACTAAAATAACTTCTGTATAAACCAAACCTATGCAAAGAAGGCAAAAGATTTCATTTAATCCAACTGAAGTATAATTTCCACAAATGCTTCATGTTAGAGAAATTGACAATGTAAACATATATAATATTGACAATGTGTGTCAGAAAAAAAAAACCCAAAAAAACCAAAACATTACAAATACTGAGACTTTCTAAATGGTACTGGCAACTGTTTTACAATTCAAGCTAACATCATGCGAGTTTCAGATATTATAGCAGATCTTATCACCTTAGAGCAGAAACAGGTTAACCCCTATAAGTTTATAATAGGAGTTACTCCGATACTGCAGTGTAATGTTAAAACATCATTTAAAGCTACTATATCAGATTATTTGGCACTATAGTTACATCATCTATGTACACTAATATCAATATTTATATCAGCATAAATCATGCTAATGTCAAAGAAAAGCATGGCTAATTAAACAATAAACAACATCAGATTTAAGTTATCACAGATATGCTGCAATGGTCCAACGGTCAAGGCACACTTATTCATGCTATGACACATGTAAAATTCAGCCACACTTTAAATTATTTTCTATTACTGTATAAAGGGATATTTCTGCGAGTCAAAAAGTTAGCGAATTTAAAATTCCACACATTTCGTGCGAGAAAATATTAGCGAAACATGCAAGGTAAGTATCTCAATGACAAGTAAGTTGATATTTACGCAACAGGAAAATTAAGCGATTGTCTTTAATTCGCCAATATTTCCGCTTCGGTAACTTAATCACTTATACAGTATTGCAATCTTTTATGCAACAACTGTCATTTTTCAGAAAGTAAATGTTGTCCAACATTCCCATGTAACTTTTCCAGTCCAACTAAGCAATTTCGTATCATTTAACACTAATATAGTAGATCACTTTAAAATTTTGATTTTTATTTGTGCTGTTTTGGAATTGTGTGCTGCATGTAGAAATTTTCATAAACTTCACTACTTTCATTGATTAATCAATTACAGTACTAGTAATGTGTAGTAAATTCTATGCCATAGATTCGTTGTTAGTTTCATCAATGCGTACTTTCTGGCCCGCCTTACGCGGTGGCTTCTTGCTGTTTACTCCGCCACTTGTCTGACTGCCCCCTGATAATGTCCCGCTGTCCTGAGAATTACGCTTCTTTCTTCTGCGTCTAAAAAATTATTAACAGTATTAAACTTTCTGCCATTCCATAATTTCTATTCCATTATTTCTAATTGTTAATATGGAATAATGTACTACTTTTTAACTAAAAATATGAATATGTCACCTTATAAAAAAGAATATAAATAGCATATGATACCCAAATACAGAAGACAGATTACAAGCATATACATATATTTTAAGAATGTACATATTGAAGACACTTTATTCATCAATTAAACATGACTTGCAAAAGAATAAAAGTTGTATCTCACATGGAAAGTCAACAAAGGTTTCTGTATGGGAAAACCCAAATGACCAAAGTGTAATTGCAATGCTACCCAAAAACATGCATTACATTTTCCATCATCATAATAGCTTATAGAAGCTTATACTTCTATAACGGTATCAAGACACTTCACCCCCCAGACACTTCACCCCTCAAATTTTGAAGATACTTCAGCCCTTAAGACACTTCACCCCCTGTAAATCTCTATACCAAGAGATAGTTTTTGAGAAATGAAACATTCTAACTGATTTCTTATTGGGATATATCCTTTGACATGGAAATGAACCCAGAGTACAAAAATACTCACGCTCGACTTGACTCGAGCATATCATCTCCAGAGCTTTCACCCCCTGAGACAAACTTCAGCTCTCCGCTCTTCGTTCGAACAGCTGTAAGATTTTTGCTCTCAGAATCTGAGTCATCAGGAGTTGTCATCCCAGTTCTGTGACTGTCTAGTAGTGTATCTAAATATAGTAACAGTTTGGTAAGAAAATCTAAATATGGCAACAGTTAGGTAAGAAAATCTAAATATGGTAACAGACAAATCATATACCTAAAGTAAAACATAGTAACAGACTGGTAATAAAATATACATACATGTACATCATTTTGGGTAACAGATAAATAATGTATCACATAAGGAAACATTTGTGTATGTTTATACTGTTAAATGCTTTTCCTTATCTTATTAAGTATGATTAATTAATTACTTATGATTCAATGGTTTTACTTATGAGGAACGGCCAAGAAATCTTTCAATAAATTACTTGGTTATAAGCATGGGTGAGGCTGCCCAAATTGAATAATAACGGGTTGGTTGGCTTTCTTTCATAAATAACTTATTTGTTGGCAGCTAAATTTTCGCAATTAGAATCGCTGATTCTAACAATAAATGATTCAAGATCTATATATGAACAAGCTTGTTACATGCAGTCTGGCCAAGATCTAAACTATTGTTATCTACTCATTTTTATCAGGACCAGAGGCTGAAACTGAAAACATCAAACCAAAACAAGAGGGCCATGATGGCCCTGAAGTTGCTCACCTGTATATAGCGCCCTCCCCCCCCCCCCCCAGGGCCAATTTTAACCCAAGGGCTTTTATTTGAACAAACTTGGTAGACACCCATAAGAAATTTCATGCTAAACATCTAAGCTCTAGCTCATTGGGTTTCTTAAAAGAAGATTTTTTAAGTTTTTACTATACACATATAGTTAATAAATGACACCCCTGGGGCGGGCCAGTTTTGACCCCAGGGCTTTTATTTGAACAAACTTAGTAGACAACTACTAGAAGATGTTTCATGCTTAATATCTAAACTCAAGCTATTTGAGTTTTTTCAAAGAAGATTTTTAAGTTTTTGCTATACACATATAAGGAAAATCAATGACCCCCGGGGCGGGGCCAATTTTGACCCCAGGGCTTTTATTTGAACAAACTTGGTAGACACTCATTAGAAGATGTTTCATGCTAAATATCTTAGCTCTAGCTCTTTGAGTTCTTTAAAAGAAGATTTTTTAAGTTTTTACTATATGCATATAAGGAAAATCAATGACCCCCTAGAGCGGGGCCAATTTTGACCCCAGGGCTTTTATTTGAACAAACTTGATAGACACTCATTAGAAGATGTTTCATGCTAAATATCTTAGCTCTAGCTCTTTGGGTTCTTTAAAAGAAGATTTTTTAAGTTTTTACTATATGCGTATAGGGAAAATCAATGACCCCCTGGGGTGGGGCCAATTTTGACCCCAGGGCTTTTATGTGAACAAACTTGGTAGACAGTCACTAGAAGATGTTTCATGCAAAATATCTAAGCTGTAGCTCTTACGTTTTTTTAAAAGAAGATATTTAAAGTTTTTTCTTTCGGTTGCCATGGCAACCAGAGTTCTGCATGGAATTAAATTCTTTGAACAATTTTTAAAGGTGACCACCAAAGGAACATTCCTGTGAAGTTTGGATGAAATTGGCTTAGTGGTTTATGAGGAGATGTCATTTAAAGTAACAGTTTACGGACGGACGGACGCCGGACAGACAGCGATCACAAAAGCTCACCCTGTCACTTTGTGACAGATGAGCTAAAAAAAATCAAATCAAGGCTGTTACAGAATGAAAGAAGAAACAATTACTAAACTAAACATACCATCCTGAGTGACGTAATTGGACGGGAAGAAGCCCTGTCTACCGTCAGAGAGTTCTCCCATCCACCAATTCTCTGTATCCTTGTACAGAACCAAAATCTCATCACCGGCAAATATATCCAGCTCGTCGGATCTCTGGGCCTTGTAGTCGTACAACACATATACCTGTAAATTAATAAATAAAATTTACATAATTATAAATATGTAGTCAGTTTTTTCTTTACCAGGGTTAGAATTTTAATTTCTAAAAAATTTCTATTTGGTTGTGTTTTTTTTCTTCTTAATTTGTAAATGAATTCGAATTAAAAAAAATAAAAAATATCAGGTTGTCTTTCAAATAAGACCAGTACAAAAAATCACACAAAAACTGAAAATTTCCAGATAAACTGATGGAGGAAGCCCTTAAGTGCCCATCATTGCTTAATTTTAGGGGAAGGCATGCACTTCAGCTTTCTAAATTCATACAATCCAAAAGTAGAAAGGAGTTTATTTGTTACCCAGATTAAAGACATACCTTTTCTTGTTTTCCTCGACTTTTACCAGGAGCTGCCTGGAAGTTAAACTGTGCCTTTCCTTGTTGAGACTGTAAATATATATATAACAGTAGAAGTAATATTCTAGGCAGAAATTACATGACACTTTAGAATTACTTGAATTCTGTATTTTCTTAGTACATACAACAAAACAGATGCATTTTCAAATGTTGAATTTATTTATCTTTATACAATTTCATGTAAAGCTACATTGCTCAGTAGACTAAGTAATATAACAGTGGACAGGGGATTACATAAAAGAAATTCATGTAAATGAAGATCAACCTTTCAAATTGTCAATTTGATTCCCTCTATATAGCATAGGAGAAGAACAATCAACCTAAATGTAGTGTTAATTAGGTTGCTCAAGAGGCAAGATAATTATTTTCTTAGGCAGAATGTTACTCTTTAGCTATTGAATGATTATCTAAAGTTGTCTATTTTCTATTTTTGTTAGTCTATTTTCTTCTTTTGTTAGATTTTAAGTCACATCAACACAGTAAAGGTCATGACTTTCCAGCTTTACTGGTGGAAGATCTAAGAAGCCCCTAAGTAGAACCACTGACCTTCCATAAGATAGCTGGATAGTTTCTTCACATGATAGAATCCAAAGTTCTTGACAGGATTCAAACCCAGGGTAAGGTCTTTCTCTTGGATATCAAGTCATACTGGAGTCTATTTTTTAGCTTTACTCAAATTTTAATCTTTCTACAGTAAGCAATGCCCTTCATTGATAAAATGCTAAAATTACAACTTACGGCTGTCATATTCAACTGTGGCGTTCGTCCAAACTGTACAGGACTTGTACTTCTGCCATGACGTCCTACTGTTGGAATTAAAGATCAAAACAAAACTATCATACACAGAAAAACATTTATAGCAGTATCATTTTACCCTCTCATAAATGTAGAAAAGAAAAAAAAACGGCAATATAATATCGACAATTAAATGTACAACATGATCATTCCTACTTCAATCAAAATATTCAACCCAAGTATAACCACCAATTTTCTACATTTTAATTAAATAGTTTCCTCAAATGAAAAGTTCCATCTGAAAGTCCCTCGTGGGATTTTAGGATTAAATAACTGTTCTAGCAGTGAAGAAAAAGCTTTCTGAAAAAAAATCTTCACTTGAAGGGTATCTCTTTATTAAGAAGTGATCTCTTAAAATGAGTAATTTCTTGTTATGATAAATCAATGCTGGTTTTAAATGACAAGTTTCTGAATGTGCGGTTTTTATCTGCAAGTGGTGGGTCGGAGAAGTATGACTGTTTATATATGAGCCGCGCCATGACAAAACCAACATAGTGCTTTTGTGACCAGCATGGTTTATCCAGACCAGCCTGCGCATCCGCGCAGTCTGATCATGATCCATGCTGTTCGCTATCAGTTTCTCTACTTGTAATAGGGTTGGTAAGCGAACAGCATGGATCCTTATCAGACTGCGTGGATGCAAACATACTATGTTGGTTTTGTCATGGCACGGCTCAATTACCTTCACTGAATGTAGGTCTCCATGAGTCAACACCCTTCATATACATGTTCTGTGAGGCAAACTGCTGATGTTGCATCACTGAAGACATTGACCTCGGTGCATGAGGACTGAACATTGTTGGACTGCCAGTCTGTGTGTGAATATATTTATCAATGATTAACAATTGGCATTCATAAGAAGGGTTTAACTTGCATAGTTTACAATGATAAAGAATCAATTGTTTATTTTTGGTTTTTATACTGATTTTAACACATTTATTTTGGCCATACATTGGCTGTAAATTCACCTACTTGGCTTTCCTGGGTAATTAACCAGTAATTACCAATTTCTCCACAAGTGACTGTCTAATAATCCAACATGGTTTCTGAATCAGTAGTGAGAGACCAATGGCCATTAGACTCTATATCTGACATCAATCGATAAAAGCCAAGAAATGGTCAACATTGAAAAACATTCAAAATATATAATTATTTAGTAAATACATGTAAATATTTCACACTAAAACTTCGTCAAAAAATGACCGAGTCTAGAGTCTTGTGCAATCTATGGTTGTAAATAAAAAGATGACCCACTATGTAATTTCTGTTTGCTTACTACATGAAGCTGACCCATTCTGTAATGCTTTCCAGCCAAAAAAATCTTACATCCCCCAATATCAGCAAATTGGTTATTTCTGGAAAGTTTTTTTTCCTTCAAAATCTTGGGCATTAGACTATTTACAATCACTCATCCTTTATCACTTTGTAATAAATTCCAGTTATAAACAGTTAAAAGTTATTGAATACCGAAGATTGTGAAAAATAATGTTCCGGAAATGACTGATTTATTACCATGTTGGCAGATGTTAGAAATTTTTGGCTGGAAAGCAGTGCAGTAAGACTGCACATTAGGCAAATCTTACCAATTTGTACCATGTTACCAAAAATTTTCAAATTTTGAAACTAGAAACCTCAAAATTAGCTTAGGATGGACACTTCTAAATGTATTAATGTTTACAGATCCATAATCCATCACACAAATTTAGCCAGGCTTTTTAAATTGACATAAACAGAAAGCATACCATAGATCTGGGTGTAGTACCGTACATATCGTAACCGGTACTTCCCATTGTCATCATAGTGCTACGCGGTGACATTGCAGCCATTCCTGGTAAATCTAGTGTAGGTGTCGATGTCATTTGTGCCTGAACAAAAAATTACGATCGTGAGATAATCATGCAGTGCTTTGATTACAACATAAAATATACAACAAGTATGACCATATGGAGTATACTGAATAAGTGTAGGTTCAATACAGAATTTATTGAACATCTTGTAAATGAATAAAATTTTATTATGTGAGCCTCTCGCGCAAGCATAATAGTATCTTATTCAACCTGTTCAATAAATTTAGTACTGAAGCTTCACAAATATATATATCTTTTTTTTTTATCATATACATTGTAGTACTTTTGTACAAAATATATGAACTGTTTACAGTAAAAAAACAAACTTTTTTCATTGAAAAGCTAACAATAAGCATGTTGAATAGTGGATTTTATACATGACAATAGTGATAAAATATACTTGTACATAAATTAATTTTTCATACAGGTGACATGTTAGATGCTAGAAACAGAATTTAAATAAACCTGATAACAATCAAAAATTGGTAACAAGATAGAAAACAGAATCCTGTGATAAAGCATTTTCTGCAATTTATATCCTTTTTTTTTTAATTCAAATTTACTAATTTCTTTATTTTTCCATTTTATAAAAAATATCTGAAAAAAATTACAGCCAAATTAAAGGGACTCCACTGAGGTTTTTTGACATGACGGTGCTGGAAGTAATTTTCCGAGATAAGTGTTCTATTTGATGTAAGCCTACATCATTAACTTGTGTGCAAAATTTCAGATCATTCACTCAAACTGTTCTTCCATAATAATTATTCTAACTGTGAACAAGAGTGATAAGTGATCACATGTGTCGCCTTATACTCCGTAGAGGCGACACAAAAATTACACAAAACTGAAAAACATTTTCCGTATTTTCATGTTTATGTGTCCAAGTTGGTCTATGTAAGAATTTAAAACTTCATTTTTAGGCTTTTGGACCTCAGTGTAGTTCCTTTAACAATCATGAAAATTGTATCATATTAGATTAATTTTGTGATATCAGATCAACTTAACAACAAAACTTTGCTTTTCCATCTCATCCCAAAATCTGATAATAATAATAATAATAATAATAATAATAATAATAATAATAATAATAATAACAATAATAAAGGTGAAATAACAATTCTCAACACAAACTTGGTTTACAACAATAACTGTTTTTTCCCCGCTACTATAACAGAATACTCTACCATTTTCTTATGTATATCCGTATAAAATTCCTAAAATTGCAAACACAAGCAAATAGATATATCCTGACAAATTTAATATGCATTTTTTGTATGAATTGGGTTTTAAGCCAATCTAACAATGTCAAGGTCATATGGCAACTTTGTTGTTATATTTGGAAAGAGACAACCTGGAATGTTCCTCAATACAATTTCTATAGCAACAGTACCTTGTTAGAATCAAACCTAGCTGGATAGCTTCCTCAGAAAAAAAAATATCAGCATTTTTAATATGATTCAAACCAATACACAGCGATTTTTAAAGTAAAACTATTTTATCACAGAGGTACTTATCCAGTTAAGAGTTATAGGGATGCCATTAACACATTTTTCAACACAGACAATGCTTTTTGATCCTGAGATGCTTTAGATATCCCCCTTTAATGTGTCCATTCATTCAAAGTTCATCTTTATCCCTTAAATGCTTCAAAGCTTACAGAATATGAGAAGGGAAATTGTTGATTAAACTAAAAAAATAAATGTTCAAATTAAAAAAACAAAAACAAAATGATAATCATTAGTGAAAAGAGATTTCCATACAAATAATTTCATTTGCTATAGGAATTAAACCATACATTAAACCATAAAGTACTGTATCTTAAATGTATCATGTGTGCTTGATGACCGTTGATAAATGGACTTTCACTTGCAAAAACTACACAACAATTTAGCATTGGTTTATATTTTCAAAGGATGTTTTTAAGCCAATTGAGAATGAGGGGTAAGTCAGGTGCTGAGGTCAAATCAACTTACCGTCACTTTATTTAGGGTTTTCATCACTTTATCGTATCTATTTGTATTGTGTAGTTCAAACTCCTCTTTTGTTAGAACACCTTTTGTGGCCAACTCTTCTTGTAATGTAGAGGTCCGTCTGATAAAATTATACACATAAAACATTGTCAAAGTAGAACAAATCTAAAATCTAAAAAATATTGGTATATTTTTGTAAATGGTCTTGTCATAAAAGTAATCTACGCTAACAGGTCACTTTTAAAACTTATTTCTTATACACCGAAACACACAATGTTCATTACAAAAATGCAACTTTTGAACCAAGCGCTTTTTATTTCATCAAAAAGTTTATAGCTTACTATACAATCAAACTGAAATCAATTCTGTATAAATAAAAGCGAACATTGGGACAGAAAGAACACTTACCCAAGTCTCTCCTCGTCATCTGCAGGCACAGGGGAGATCATTCTCGGTGATAGACCTGCTTCGAACTGAGCAACTGAAAACAAATATACAGATTTATATCCCAGATGTTATTCACCCGCACCAGGCCAGGAGACTAGAAACTTTATCACTGGACAGCAGAACACTCAATATTTCTAGTTAAATGAAGACAATTTAGCTTATGCTCAAGTAAAAATGCTTTCAGGTCTATGAGGTATAAGTTTTCTCACACTTAAGTGATAGCATTAAAAAAAAACAACTTAGGTTTAATAATGTGTTCATCATAAAAAATTTCCTTCCTTCAACAATAATAATCAACAGATACCATAATTTCAGGGCACATCCATGCACTGTTTACCCTTAACCTGCTTAATTTCTAAAATGGACTAAACCAACTTCCGTTTTTGGAACTGTTCATTACCAATTAAAGGGATATAAAGATAAAATAGATATAGAGGATATTTGTTTTGTTCAGTGTAAAATTGGAATATATTTGACCGAGGTAGCACCAAAAGGTATATTTCACCAGTGGCGCAGCCACGAGTGAAATATGAACTTTTGGCGTTCACTAGGTGAAATATATTTCTATCTTACATAAACTAAACAAATTTTCTTTTTATTATATGCAAAGAAACGTTTAAAAAGACATTTTAACCTTGTACTAAATGAAAAGGGTGCCAAATCATAATGCAACGTAACTTCATTTACAATGTCACATCATTAACTTGGTTTCCAGTACTGTGAATGCTTGAATTTCACTGAAACAACGTAACAGGCTCAAATATTCAAAACAGTGAAATTATCAAATTGATAATTTTACTGTTTAAAACAGTGAAATTATCAGTTTTTATTTCACTGATATACTTCTATAAACCACCGAAAAGCATGTAATAAAAAAAATAATTCCTAAAAAACTTCAAAATGACAAAATAGAATATGTTACAGGCTCGATTTGACTGAAACTGTTCATGGACGGTAGTGGAAACTTCAAGCTTCCTCCACATCCCTAGCACTGGCTTACTCACTGGCCAATAATATAAAGCCTGGTCAGACTGCACGGAAGTGTAGGTTACCCTGGGTCTATAGTGGTTGCAAAAGCAAATCATTCAAAATTCAAGCAATGCTATTAAAACAGCCTTCAGCCTTAATCTAAAGATTAAATATGTTACTTTTAAATAAATTGTTTCACATAATTGCCAAATCAAAAGAAACAAGCAATTATCATAGTATTGCAAGCAATCCATAAGTCCCCTACCGGTTAGAACCCCTGCAACATTCTGATGGGCCTTTGGCCATTCAATTTTACCAGTGAATGAATGACGTGAATGAACTTAAATCTTTTGAGTTCAAAGTTTGTCTATATCACAGTAATGTGTTAAGTTTCCCTGCCTAGTAAGGAAATTATGTTTATACAACCTTGTCATATTATTACGATGTGGGATTTTAAAGTAAATCGTATAAGAAATGAAGAAGTTGGAGTAAAAAGTACCAATTTCTCGAAAAAAATCTAAGTTCAAGGGGGACATAATTCTGGTAATAGTCTTGCTAGAGTATTTAACCTTCTCAAAAATGTTGAGTGATAATAAGAAACATATATATGAAGTTTGAAGTAGATACATTAGGAAATAAAGAAGTTATTTAAAAAAGACATTTTCTTTTCATAAAAGTTCTAAGTTCAAGGGAGGTAATACTGATAATTTTTGTGCTAGAGTTGTAAACCTTGTCACATATGATGTGGTTGATGACCAGAAACTGATATTTAAAGTTTGAAGTAAACACCTTAAGAAATAAAGAACTTATACTGAAAAAGCTGAAAAAATTAAATCAGAAATCTTGAAATTCAGGCTATTTGTTGCCATAGCAACCAGAATTTTCAACATAGGAAGAAAAGAAAAAGATGTGCATAATCTCCAGACTGCCATCTACCCATATTTCATATATTTTCAGATTATTTGTTGCCATAGCAACCAGAATTTTCAACATAGGAAGAAAAGAAAAAGATGTGCATAATCTCCAGACTGCTATCTACCCATATTTCAAGTTTCATAAAAATATTTTCAGTACTTTTTGAGTTATCACTGGATCCAGTTTATGTGTTAAATTTGCCATCTTTTCAGACTATTTGTTGTCATAGCAACCAGAATTTTCAACATAGGAACAAAAGAAAAAGACGTGCATAATCTCCATACTGCCATCTATCCATATATCAAGTTTCATAAAAATATTTTCAGTACTTTTTGCGTTATCGTGGGATCAAGTTTTGTGGACGGACGGACTGACTGACGGACGGAAGGACAGACAGACGTCCTTACCAGAGCTACATTATGGGGTTTTCTTTTGTTATTTCTTTTGTTCTTTTTAACCCCACAATGCAGAAAATAACCCCACAAGAGTAGCGGAATGAATGACATCAAAGACATCTATTGTTATAAGAACAATAGACCAAACCCCATAATGTAGCTCTGGTTTGTCAGACAGACAGATGGACAGAGGGTAAACCTAAAGTCCCCTCCGGTTAAACCGGTAGGGGACTAATAAGGTGTAAAATGAAATTTGTCATCGATAAAATACATAAACAATAAGGATTCCCCTCAATACCTCTAATTTACCGTTTCGCTCTCTCTATATATGTTAATAAGTAAAGCAGATGATCCTCTATTTCTAGAAACAAACCTCAATGCGCGCTATAAACAGCTCTAGGACTCTGTTTTATAGAAGGCTTAACAGTGATATGATGCACTTTTCCTATGTAATATTACTGAAATACTTAGTATGAAACAGCATAGAAATGTTTTTCTAACAAAAAAAAAAGCTGAAGGGTGCTTTAACGAAACAATTTTAAATAGAGTGAAGAAAACAGCTCTTTATGAGTGATTAACTTACTAGCAGGATCGTAGCTGTATATCAGAATGGGGTGATTTTCTCCCAGGGAACAAAAAGCCACCATGTGATCTCGAGGATGATAGCAGACGTCTGTTACAGGGTTCTGGTAGTTTAACTCAGAATACATCAAAACTTGATCACCTTTACAAAAGAAAAAGGAAACAGTGCAAAAAGTAGAATTATCCTATCCAAGTATATGCAAAAAATGCATATGTTATATATTCATTCATTACTTAGGACTTTAAATTAAATTTATTTCTTTCTTTCATTTTGAAAAAAGAACATTTATTTCGCCCTTATAAAGATAATTACTCTGGAAAAGCGTAGTTAGCTAATGATCTGAAATTTTGCATGCAAGTTATTGGCACATACATACATCAAAGGGTACACAAATCTGGTCCTTTTACCAATTTGCTAAATAGCTTCATCACAATGATAAAATTCTTTACAATGGTATACATTTATATTGTGTATAAAATATACAGCACCAGACCTGTATCAGTGTTCCAGACGTATGCATAGTTATCTTCACTACCAGAAAACACAAAAGAACCACATGGGGTTATATCACTGCGGATCTGCTCCCGGAAATTCAAAGCACCAATGTATTTCTGCATCACTCGTTGACTGGAAAATAGTAAATGAAAAATCAACACTCTGGTAAGAGTGTTTTTCAATTCAACTATTGCAGAGTGACAAAGAACATTCATAAATTTACTGGCATCTAAAAGTAATGAATTTTTCATTTGTTGTCTGGAAAAATAAAGTCGTAACTAAATTGTATATAAATGTTTGGCTGTCCTGAAATTATATATGCCAGAGTAGAAATTCATCAGTTTTTGACTGGAATAACTATATCAAGTTTGCAGACAGCAACAGGAACAGTGACTGTAACAATTAAATATTGAAAATATGTGTCATTATGTTTTGGTTCCGATCAGGTTGGACCATTGTTGCTGTTTAGATCTGAATATCTGTCCCGAGGGTAGCTGCCCAATGAGTGGTAACGAGGTTTGCTGGGTTTCTGCCATTACTTTCGTGATGTTATTTTGAAGCAAGGAACTGTCAGCCCGAATGCCAGATGAAATTTACAGAATGCGTTAAACTAAAGAAAACACCAGTCTGATTTGTGAGAGATAAAAATTCACTCTTTTTTTTTTATTTATGGTATAAAATGAAAGAGCATATTCATAATGAATACATGGATTGAAAATATATTTTTGTCTGAGAATAACTTACATTCTAAGATCAAACATTCGGAGGATATTATCTCTACAGTGTACAAGCAGACGGCGCTCTCTCGGATGTAAGACAATATGATTTATTGCTGTGCCCTGGAAAAAAGTAACTTTACAATTAATATTACTATATCATTCATTTTCACACTGATCTCTTAAAGGAACTCCACTGAGGTTGAAAAGCCTAAAATTTTAAAACTGATCTTTTTTCATAAGTCATCTGGCTCATTTAAAATGGAAAACTAAGCAACAGATAATATACTTTGAATGGAATTGATAACAAATTTTGATATGATTTTAGGGCTGATTTAAGTGAAAAGTATTGCAACTCTTGTCAATGTGCACAATAAAATTGATTATCCCTGGTAAAAAGAGTGATTAAATAACTTGAAATTTTGTACTCAAGTTATTGATCAAGACCTACATTCATTTATACCAAAATCTTGAAAAAAAAAATTTTCAGTCCCTGCATGTCAATAAACCTCAGTGGGGTTCCTTTAATAAATACATATTCACATGTTATCACAAATTTATTATCTTACATTGTTTTATTTTACTGTCATGTCTTACAAAGCTAAAAATGTAAGTAAAAAATTAAAAAGTTAATTTACCTATATATTTCTTTGCAAATAGAAGTTGAAATACATCGTACATTTATTTACTTAAACTTTGGCCAAGGCTATTTAGTCACAGACGATATAAACAGGATATATGATGAAAATATGTTCTTCTACATTACATGTTGGTATTTGTTTGATGTATGCTGATTACCTAAATAGAGATGTAAGGTGAAAAGATCTTTTATTTTTGGAAGAGAAAGGAAAGGATTTAAGTCATACTAACACTTTTTAGGTCACAACTTTTCAAACTTTGCCCCTTGCAACCCTAAATATCTTAAATGGACTTGTCAATCTTTCAATCTCGATAAAACCATTCATAATTTTTTTTGGTAAATTTCAAAATATATTGGTTATGACAATTTTTACTTATTTATTTATTGATTATCGAACAGTGCAGACCATGATTAAATGGCACATTTGATTTGTAAAACAAAAAATGTTGATCAAAATATACCTTCATGTCGGCATCTTCAATTTTTGCAAACAAAGTCCAATCTCTTGCCACACCTGTAAAACAAATCATAATTCTGTTACATAAACAAATCAGAGGGACTGGGACAACCATTCTTCCTATTCTTTTAAAGTTGCTTTTAAAATTAACACTTCTAAATATCATTGGTCTGATTCAAATAATAGAGAGTACATTTATGAAATATCTGTTGGCTTGCAGAAATAAAATTCCCAACACATTTAACTTCATATACAGGCATGCCGGCTTTGTACTGATGGTAATTTAGTAATTTAAGTTAAAGTTTTTGTATTTTTACTCTGTATAAGTCTTAATCTAAATGATTTTTATCTTGATTTGAGTTCTTCTTCAAACATAATAATTCAGCAAAAATGAATTTTTTTTTCTTCACTTTTTGCATAAAGTTTCACGAAAAAAGGTCACAAACACTATTAAATTTTTTTATTTTGTTTTGTTTGGTTTTATGGCCCACCAACACAATTTATGTCATAAAGAGTGGAAACTGATAAGATGATTTTAGCTAACCTCAGGAGTTACAAACTTAAAGCAACACCTTGATTCAAAACCTCAACTGCTGGAGCTAAGAGATACATTGACTCAAGTAATTCGAAACCCATTTAGTTGCCTCTTACAATCATGCAGGGATAAATGGTGGCTGCAATTCTGATGCCTCAACCTTTTAAGGCAACCCCTCAGATACTATCAAATACAGATGTGAAAAACAGAATGCAATCTAATCATAACAGACCGTAATCCTACCTCTTTTTGAAGGCATCTCTGTAACAAATGAGTTCCATATAATAATAACACCCACACTGTCTGCTGAATACATTTTCTGGCCATCCTCTGAGAAACATATAGAGTTAACCAACCCTACATGATGATCAAGTTCCTGCCGTAACTGTGGAAATGGAAACAAAGATTTATATCAAAGACAGATATTTAAAAACTCAACCTTCTTCTTATAATGTATGCTATCATTTTGCATCATCTACCTTAAAAACTTATAGAAATAAGTTTACCTATATATAATAATCTGTTAGTAAACTACTGACAAACATTCTAATATTTATTATTTTTATGAATTTGTGGCAATGTTTATCTTTTATGCAACTTAATAGTGTCAATACAAAGAAATGATTCTTTATAAAATATTACATGCATTTTGTATACAAAAAATCTTGATTCTTCCAAGCAAAAAAACAGTGGTATTTCATGATATGCAACGACTAGTATTCTTAAAGCAGCATGCCTTCAGATTCATGCTTATTTTCATGTAAATTTTTAAACTGTATTTAAAAGTAAAATATTGTGAAGTGAACAAAGGAAGTAAATTTTACAGTGCAAAAAGCATTACAATGCAGGTACATATAAATTACCAATAAGAGGTCAAAATAAGCTAAATTAGCCTTTACTGTGTTAGTCATGCAGTAGAGATATGGTGTTACTTGTACATAAAATGTAAATTATTTACTTGAATCTTAAATCATTTTTCTTTTCTTAAAATCTTTTTCCTCAAGTTTGATTTTTTTTAAAAATATTTGGCTCATCTGGAGGCATGCAACTTTAAATTTCACATTTAAAAAAAAAAAAAAACATGTAAGTTTCACTCACATCAACTTTATGATCATCATCACTGACGTCCCAGACACGTATAACCTGGTCGAAACCTCCAGTCACTGCTACAGTTTCTACACGAGAGTGAAATTGTGAACAGTAAACAAATGCTGGATGAGGTAATAATTTCTGTTGGTTTTCACCAAATGCCTGTATATCCCAAACTCTGGAGAAAAAAAAACAAGCAATAAATAAAGTGAGACATGAAATATTTTTACCTAAAAGCAATATCTAATTAAAAAATTATATATTCAAGCCGAAAAGATCAGCAAAACCAAAGAATGCCACCCAAGTCAGTACTTAAGATTTGCTTTATTGTTAAACAAGTTATCATAACAAAAGCACCGCTTGCAGTGTAAACACTCGTCTGTTCAAATAAGTACTTTTGACAAAAATTCTAAGCTAAAAAAGGGGCATAACTCAAAAATATAGCTTTCAGAATTATGCCCCTTGTCTTACAACTGTCTCTTGTCATGATAGACAAGTATTCCAAGTTTCATATTGAAACCTTTTAAAATCATTATTAAGAGTATTTGGCTACATTATAGTTTTTGCACGACAACCAAGCAACATAGTCACAGCGATCATATTAACTTGACTTTTTCTTCAAAACAGATGGCATAAAACTCATAAGTTGCAAAATCAGGTGCAAAATGAAGGTCACCATCATGATTTAATCTCTCAGCATTGATGAAAAGTGATTAAAGCGGACATCTATGAGAGGTTGATATGATATAAATTATGCATCCCTAACTGCCCAGGCACTGAAGGCACTCTTCATACTGCATATTTAGTTATTTACCTGGCTGTTCCATCAGAAGATGCTGACAATAGGTGTGTGTCTAGTTTTGACCAACTTAAATCATATACAATGCCAAAATGTCCAAGGAACTTGCCCTTTAATGTACCAGAGGGAATCTGGAAAGGAAAAAAGGAGAGCATGTCCTGATACTAGGGTACACCATTCTAATAAAGGTTAGTATGTAGCAACGACAAAAAAGATCGGAACTTATAAGAAAATATTATAAAATTCCAACAGAATAGATAAGAAAAGGCTACAATTTATATATTTCTAGATTTCAAATTTTTTCTTTATGTCACCTATACATACTTTCATCGAGTTAAAATTCGTGGAAAGTTAGTCTTGTATCCTGAATGAGAGAAAGGAGAGAGCCATAACTTCAACTTGGTATTTTATGTTCTTGTCCTTCAGCATCATGGATTCAAATACTTTATAGTATTGAAGACTGAATACAGCTTAAATCTGTTCTAGGGACAAATGAGATGTAGCAGCGTTCATTATCACTCATAGTCAGACACCATGTAACCAAATCTACTATCTTTACCTAAATGGGTTTTGTTTTTATTGCATAGGATGTATTATCTCCCCTTTCTCAAAATGCATGTCTTAAACAGATGATAGTGAATGAGTGTAGGTTAACTACTAACTTTATAGCAAAAGTTGAATAAAATCATATTATGTGAGCCTGTGGCGAGCATAGTATTGTTTTATTCAATGAGTTCAGTAAATTTAGTATTGAATCTACACGAATATAATATTCTTTTAATCACATATCTAAAATAAGAACACTTTACAGTTAAAAAGAGTATGTTTTTTTGTTGACGTGCCTACTGTATAACACTAATATTAGCAAGCTTTAACACAATGTTTGTATGTAACACAAATGACACCATGTCAAATTGTTATTACACTAGTGTAATATCATTTTTATTAAATGGGTTTATTATACTCCTGTGCCATGGTTTATGTGATAAATTACATTCACATACCTCGTAGACTAGAATAGGATAACCATCTTTTCCCTGGCAAGCACAAGCTAAACTCCGGCCATCATGTGAGAATTTTAACATATAGCAACCCTTCTTGGCTGAAGGTAATGAGTGGGATAGAACATTTGGCAGACGACAAAACTGGCCAGCCAGTCTAGACCACGATGATAGGGTTTTATGTTGAGGTTCTCTGAAATATTCAATATTTTTTTCATTTATTTTTTAATCAAATAATACAAATGTGTATGTTATGCCAATATATCTATTCCAAACTTACCCTTAAAATTCAACTAATTGTGGTAAAAGCTGGAGTATAATTTGGACAGACTTTAAGACACAATAACTTTGTTGTGAACTTGTCGAGACAAATATTTCTGTGAGACGATAAGCTCATCTCACATCTACAAAGTACACACTTTCCTCAAAAACATGAAACTTAAAATGTTAATACTCTTAGAAAAGCTAAACTTTCTAATTTTGCTCAAATAATTATTCTTAAAGTTGCATCCCTTCAGATGAGCCAAACGTTTTCCTGAAAATCAACCTTGAGGACGATGTACTAAGATTTTAAGAAAAGTGATCACAATTCAAGAAATAATTTACATGTTCTATGCAATTAGTGACTGGTTTTACGACCAACTGTATTTATAACCATATTTCTACTGCATGTCTAATGCAGTAAGGGTCATTTTTTACACATTCTGACCTCCTTTTGGTAATTTTTGTAGATTTTAAGTGCGGTCTGCAATATGGTCAATTACTTTCTTTTTTCACTTAACAAAGCATTTTATTTTCCTTTTTAAATTATTTCAAAAATTTTCATGAAAATAAGCATGAATTTGGAGGCATGCTGCTTCAAATTTTCCATATCAATTAATAATAGTGACATATATAAACATGCAATTAAATTTCTTTGTATCAATATCACTCAGAATGTAAATAATAACCGTAAACTCACTTTTTACCACCAGTCCATTTGACTGTTTTCTTCAATTCTTCAAAGGTCATTCTTCCCCTTTCCTAGAAACATCAAGCCAAAAAGTTCAAATTTTGTAACAGCTAAATCCTCACACACTAAATAAGTTTATACTTTATGGGAACATTTACTCAATCAAACTGAATAGAACAAAGGTAATATTAAAAGCAACAAGCATTAAATTTCATATGAAATGTATACAATACTTGACTAAGGGTTACATTGCTTGAAGCATTTTCATTTAACCCCAAGCCTTCTTAAATTGTGTAATGGATATGCCCAACTTTGAGTTTGAAACAGTCCATTAAAGATTTAGGAGCTGTAGGACATAAAAATATGAAAAGAGCAATGCATCCGGTGTTAATGCTTGTGTACTTCTAACAAATTTTCATCAATATTTTAAGGTGCTTGCCATCTGTGCAGTCTTACCTGGCTCTTAAAGCTAAGGGTAAGGGCTAATCTAACCCATTTTGAAGGTTCATACTTCTACCCATGCCGTCAGTGCAGACCAAGATCAGCTAGCATCTCTGTTCAGTCAGTACATTTTTTGAAATCTTCCATAAAAATGATGAATGGTTTTGTCCAAATTCAAATTTTGGCAAGTTCATTTACATTACTTAGCGTGGTTAGAGAGGGTTAAATTGATATGAACATAAATACAAATGAAATAATTAGTCTACCTCTTGTGTAGCAAACAGAGATCTCTCGACTGCCTCGACCTCTAACGGAGGCCTGATACCTTTCAGTGTTACATATAAAGTAGAAGGATATGGCTTCCTTGGACATTCTTTCCACCATTGGAACGCCTGTAAATATAATATTTCAACTCTGATTTTTTTGATTGGGAAATGTAAATGCCCTACTTTAAATAAGTATCGTTCTTTACTGACTCAGGAATGACAACACCAAAATATCAAAATTGATAAGTTTGTGGTATAATTTTGTCAGACTAAACAGTCTCTTTATATATACTGATAAGTTGAACTGAATTGACTACATGTATTATCTTAAAAGATTGACTGTTATAATGTTGATTTACCAATAATTGATATTGAAATTATGTAAAGGGTAAAATATGAATTTGCCTAACATATGAAAAGACTGCCCCACTATTTTTCATAAATTGAATGTTACAGGTAAATTCAGATGGATATTTATAGAAATTTCCTTGAACCATATGAGTTACCTATCATTCATGCAAAGTAAATTACAAAACGGAAAGGAATTATGGCAAAATGATAACTTGACTTTCACCCGTTTTAGTTTAATTCATTGTATTAACATCATTTATTCCTAAGGATAAGACATAAATCTGCCTTAAATATACAAAGATTGCCCCGTTCTTTTGCATTAATTGAATGTTACAGGTAAATTCCGATGTCCTACCAGTCATCATATTCTTACCTCCTCCATATCTGCTTTTCTTCTTAGATTTGAGGGTGGTGCTTCAAATATCTGCAGTCTTACTTTCGATCCACAATTTAACTTATTATTGTTTCCAAGAACCTAAAAAGAAATATAGAACTTTATCTACTTTACCAATTAAAAGCAAGACTTGTTGACAATATATGTACTCACTGCTCACTGACTTAAAATAAAATTCTAGTTTATTTTCCTTCTTCATGAAACTAAAAAAGAAAAATAAACCTGCAGATCAAGGGTTGACCACAAGACTGTTGTAAGTCTTTCATTATTTCATTTAAGTTGCTGCTGTTTTGCAGTCAACCCTTAGGATAAAATGTGTTATCTCTCATATTTAATAATTGAATGGTTGAATAGACATGAAAATAATGAAACCATCATTCAATGCAATTTGATTAAATCAATAAAGAAAATGAAATCTTATGAAAATGAGCCTTACTTTTTATGAAACTGAATTTTCATTTCTGATTTTTATGTATCATAACCAATTTAACCTAACAGTTTGTGGACCCCCCCCCCCAAAACACACACAGACAAAACAAAAAAACAACCAAAAAATACACATTAAATCAACTTAAAATCTTTTAATGACCCAATGTCATTTATAAAAGACAAAAAAAATACACCTTAAAATAAAAATTACCTTTAAGAAAGCCCAGCCAATCCTGTGCCATCCTGAATCAGTTTGTGCAGCTTTATTCATACTAACAAAATCCAGCAACTGTAAAACATTACAAAAGATAATAATTACTATTTTTCTCTTTTATTATTTTACCTGCAAATTGCTGATTTTCGTAAATAGACTTGCCCAGCTCTCATCTTTGGAATCATCCATTATTGGTTTTGGTGATATTAAGATGAACATTTAAGGTTAGCCAGCTTACACTGTACAGCCTTGTCAGAATGCATGGATACTCAGACTGGCCTGGCTCCGTATACTGTTGGCTAAGACTAGTCACTACAGGTTCCACCAGGATAAAGGGTAAAGCTACACCAACAAAAAAGTCGTGTGGTGAATTTTTCAGCATAACCTGAGACATAGATAGACATTATCTTCATCTCTGGCATAACTAATGAAGGAAGATCTCAGACAAACATATGTGGAGATTAACTTGTATATTCCATAAGCTATATGAACGTTTCCTTTCATGTAATCATTTATTGGCAAAAATATGACTCACAGTCATGAAAGTCAAGACATTTGGGCTACGCCCTAGGTAAATCATTTAGAAAAATATAATATTCATTATATAATAAGATATATAAAATAAAACATAAAGGCCCACACCTCTTCTAAAATTTCTTAATGAGTAACATAGATATGGTGATATTTTCAGAATTCTAAAATGTGTTTATATGTCAAAACACAGCTCATTTCTAAGGTAAGTTATGTTCAGTTAATAAAGATCTACCCAACTGAATTAACATGTTACAACCAAGGTTAAAATGTCTGTAAATGAACAAACGGACAGCTGCTTTGGCATGAAAAATACTAACCTCAAAAACCAATAGCACTTTAGGTCTGTCAAGTATGAAGTAATTAAAGTTCTCATTGAACACCAGTAACTCCTCCCACACTGGCAACACTGATCTGTTAACATAGTTTTACTTGATTAACAAATATAACACAAAAATAATTATCCATTTATATACTAGTCTAATATATACTGTATGTACAATATTCATATGTTTAATAAGGGATACATTCTTTGTTTCAACTCTATAGAAAATTGTCTATAACATTATAGAATTATCATAATTTTACTGCTTATAAAAAAAATAAAAAAAAAATCATTATACAGGGTAACAAGATAATATGACTTTTAGTGATCTGCATGCGACAGAAAACCAATTAAAAAGTTGGTCCGGGTTTAAAAAATTTGTATAACTTTTTTTTAAAATTCTATTATCTTTTTGGAGATAAATTGTAGAGACCACTACTTCTAGGGAGAAAAGTACTTTATTTTCTCAGAAAGTGACACTGCATGTTTAAAGAATTAGAAATTCACAAGCGTTCACTTCACAAGAAAAATACTGATTTTTTTTCCTATGAACCATTCTTTGGAAAAAAAGGAAAGTTTGATTGATTTTTGTATTAGTTTTCTGGCCCATGCAGATCACAAAATTTTACAGGCACCATGATATAGCTTTATATCTTACAAAAAGATTTTATCAGAAATGTAACTGACTGCCAAAAATGAAAAAAAAAAGAAAAAAAAGTAGCAAATCTTTAGAACTGTCATCCTAACATTATTACCAAAACTTATGAAGAACTGTATTACCTCCTTTAGTTTGATTTAGAAAATTAATTAACCATCCAAAATCAGTAATTTCATTTTTGATATATAACAAAATATAATAATACATACAAATGTATAATAGCAGTGTAACACGTACACTTTTACTACAAATTTGACAAAATTGATTCCCCTTACTTGTTTTGTTTGAAGTCAAAAGGTTTTGTCATTATTGGAAGAATATGTTTCACGTTGTCATTCTTGGTCTCATAGTACGATGTTACAGCTCGGTCCCTGGGAAAAAAAACGAAAACATTCATTGATATCTGACAGTACTCTCATTATTCTTTACCTTAAATCAATACTAAAAAAAATAATACTTATTTAAACAAAACCAACAACACAGCCACCTAACACTACATGTATGTAAAACCAGTTGTTCCATTCTAGAAAAATAATTTTAATAGATAATGTATCCAAGAATGGCTATGATTCGTTACCCTAAGCATTTTACAGTGCTAGTTTTATACACTATATTTTCTAATGATTAAAGGGTTGTATCTTAAAAAATTCAACAGACACATTTAATTTACTTTGATGTTTAAAACTTTCTTAACTGATATATGTTGAGACTAACCGACATATACCATAAGGGTAATGACTCTAAGACAGGGACGAATTTAGGGCACCTGACAATAGTTAATTTTTCCTTATATTCAACCAAATATTGTATGAAGGCCATGTCTTCTTTTGGATCTAGAACTATCCATTGAGGGATATAAATAAACCCAAACATTTAGCAGCAACAAGTAGAGGAACTGATCTACAGATTTGCCTTGCTTTCACTTTGCTAATACAAAAATTCCATATCAAATCACTATTGTACTTCAACTGGCCTTGTTTTCATTTTCAGGGTCCAAAAAATTCATATCAAATCAGTATTGTACTCAAACTGGCCTTGTTTTTCATTTTCAGAGTCCAAAAAAATCAAATAAAATCACTGTTGCACTCTGCGAGTCTTGTTTTATTTTCAAAGTAAAAAATATCATATCGAATCCTTATTGTAGTGGAAGAAACACAGTAATGTCAACAATCTGGTAGTGTGAAAAAAGATGTCATTATATATTGTTGAGTACAATACTGTTTCTAGAACTTATAGTCCAATATATGTTTGACAGCTGTGTACTTGTCCAATAGAATTCACTATCGTACTCAACAATGTTTAATATTCCCATAAACAATATAAATACCCTTATACATACTTGTGCTGTTTAGGTAGGTATTTTCCTGTCAGTTCATCTACTATATGCACTCTAACCATTGGATGCATAATGTAGAAATCATTTTTGAGCTTGTCTGTTCTATGTATAGTAACAGCTAGAATTCTCCCCTCATCCTCCGCCTCCATACCAGATGGCCCCGCCTCTTCCTCTTCAACTGTTTCAGCTTCTTCTGTACCTATAATATCCATGTCACACACTGATTTCATTTTAATGTTCACAAAACATTCAACAACATTTACAGTAATTATATAATGAAGAAAAAAATGAAGTGAAGCTTTTTTTCTACCCAGCACTCCATTACTAGTATCAATTTTGTTAACCAATACTCGGCCATCACCTTTTGATTGAGTACTAGATTAACTGGTTATTTTTTGCCATGGATAATATTAAAGTTTAATCTGTACAAAAGAGTCACGACACAATTTTTCAATCTGATTCTTAATACATACCTTTCTTTTTCTTCTTCTTTCTTTCTTTTGGAACAGGTGCTTCTTCTTCTTTTTCCTCCTCATCTTCTTTCTCTCCCTTCAAATCACACATGAAAACATTAACATTTTAAAGGGCATAATCATTTGAGCCGAGTCACGACAAAACCAACATAATGGGTTTGCAACCAGCATGGATCCAGACCAGCCTGTGCATCCCCGCAGTCTGATCAGGAACCATGCTGTTCGCTATCAGTTTCTCTACTTGTAAAAGAGTTGGTAAGCGAAAAGCATGGATCCTGATCAGACTGCGCAGATGCCCAGGCTGGTCTGGATCCATGCTGGTCGCAAACACATTACGTTGGTTTTGTCGTGACGCGGCTCATTTTTTCTATGTATATACAGTTAAGTATCATCACCTTAGTGCAGTCACCGGTTAACTCCTTATAAATTATATAAAGAGTTAAGCTGATACTGCACCAAGACGACAGTGTGTATTAAAGGTTAATTGGTGTGCATATGATGGCCAGAGTAAACAAAAAAGTCTTTGTCTCCACAGAGGAAAATATAATTGCAAGTTCAATTTTCTTATTTCTTTCCAAAGCATACTTTAATATTTATGAAGCATTGCAAACTGACTGCAAAATCCTTCAATGTCATATTGACAGAATTTCAAACTTTCACTGTAAACTCAGTATTTTGACATCCATCCAAAACACTGATTAACAATTCAAAATCTCAACCCTTACATATTTATTACATCACTAAAGCAAGAATATTAAAACATACAGATCAATGGCTAACATTACTGACTGATATCCATTTTTATGCTAACATGACAGGCAAAATCTCTTGGACGAGATTTTGGAAATACAATTATGCGTGCAAGAAAAAGTCTTGGACTAGACATGACTTTTTGCCAATATATATATATATATACACACAGACAAGTTCCTGCACAGACATTGGTATCATTATACACTTAGCAAATTAATCGTTAGATAGCAAATAAATAAAGAAGTATTGAACAAAAGAGTGAATGAAAACAACAAAAGTCATGAAGGTATAAAATCATTCATATTATACCTCTTCTTCTCCTTTATCCTTCTTTTTCTTCTTCTTTTTCCCTTTCACTCTAGGACTTTCCACCTCCTCACCTGGTGAAAGAGCTTCATCTTCTGTTTCTCCTTCGCCTTTCTTCTTCTTTTTCTTCTTTCCATCCTTAGGTGACAATGGCTCTTCTGCAGCAGAAAGGACTGCTTCTTCCTCTGTCTTTCTTTTTTTCTTTTTCTTCTTTCCATCTTTAGGTGACAATGGTTCTTCTGCAGGGGAAAGGGCAGCTTCTTCGTCTGTTTCTCCTTCTTTCTTCTTCTTCTTTCCTTTCTTACCTTTTGGCGAGGTAGGTTCTTCAGACGGTGACAGTACACCTTCTTCATCCGTTTCACCTTCTGTTCGCTTCTTTTTCTTTTTTCCCTTTGGTGAAACAACTTCCTCACTTGGGGACATAACAGCCTCATCTTCAGTATCAGCTGCAATTAATCACATAATAAAAAAATTCAACCTGTTTTACTTCTTAAATAGACTTATCTAGCTGACATTTTTGGAACTGTCCATTATCAATTTTGGGGATATAAAGATGAAAGTATGAAGTTAAGTCAGCCAAGAGTATACAAATCAAAAATATCAGCTAAAATTAGACATAAATCTTATACAGACTAAGTTCTCTGACAAGTCAAATACCTACGTATGTGTATTAACTCTTAACATTATGGCGACATTCCAGTATTACTGGTGGAGGTAGACCTCGGGTGACCTTCCCTGCGTTCTTTCAAACACAAACCGACACCTGAGTAGAACCACCCACATTTTGTAAGCTAGCTGGAAAGCTTCTTCTCATGAAAGAATCCAAAGTCCTTATCTGGATTCAAACCCGCAGCTGAGGGGCAAGTGGTTTGAAGTCAATGACAAGTTAAACACTCAGCCACAGACACCCCTCAGAGATTACCTCAGTGAAATTATCATCTTAGCAATACCATATTATTGATGGATAAATGACCAGAGAGGTGACAAAGTATACCTGCAGGTTTCTTCTTTTTCTTTTTAGTTGGTGTTAGAACAGTATCTGTCTGGGAGTCAGGCTCAGGGGTCCCATCCCTTGGGACTTTCTTTCGAGGTTTTTTCTTTGGTGTGGTTGCTACACTTGGTTCATCCTCTGACCTACATACATAAAGTATATCCTTGTAAGCGTTTTAAATCTTTTAAGCTGGTTATATAAACAAGAGCTGTCGGTAGGACAGCAACGCTCGACTATTCTTAGTGCTTGAAACAGTTACCTCCTCCTGTTTACAGGTTGGGGTAATGATGGTGAACAAGTGTGCAAAGTTTCAAAGCCATATGTCAATGAACTTTGAAAATATTTGAGGTATTACAAAAACTTTAACATAAATTCTAAGTCGAAAAAGGGGCATAATTCTGTCAAAATGCTTGATAGAGTTACCTCCTCCTGTATACAAGTTGGGGTCATGATGGTGAACAAGTGTGCAAAGTTTCAAAGCCATATGTCAATGGACTTGGAAAATATTTAAGGTATTACAAAAACTTTAACATAAATTCTAAGTCGAAAAAGGGGCATAATTCTGTCAAAATGCTTGATATAGTTACCTCCTCCTGTCTACAGGTTGGGGTCATGATGTTGAACAAGTGTGCAAAGTTTCAAAGCCATATGTCAATGGACTTTGAAAATATTTGAACTATTACAAAAACTTTAACATAAGTGGTTACGCCGACGCAGACACTGACGCCGACGCTCGGGTGACTGCAATAGCTCTACTTATTCTTATCGAATAGTCGAGCTAAAAATTAGGTATAAAAAGCTTAACAATGCCAACCTAATGATGCAGAAATTTCATTTCAAATGAGACCAATGTTTGACAACTATTGGCTGCTGTCAGGAAAAAATAATGCTGACTGGATGCACACTCACTTAATAATCCTCAAAAAAAATCATTATTTTTTACATAATAGGTATGAATATACTGATCTCAAGGCAGATTATGAAAATAAACTTGTAACACAAGTTAAGCTAAAATCCAAGCATTATAACTCAGGCTTTCCATCAAAGTAAATAAATATTTTATCAAAATTCAAAAGGAATTGACACCGATATAATTATATTCATATTTTCATTTGTAATAGTCAACTCTGGTACCTGGCTGACAGGACTGGTTCCTCTTCTTGTTTCTTTTTCTTCTTTTTACCAGGAGTTTTCTGTGTACTGGTTTCCAGCTCTGACATGGTCATAGTCTTGTCTGGTGGCTCAATCTGAGATTCATCACTGAAAAGGACCCAGTAGTGTCAATTATGACTAGAAAAATTTAGTTTTGTACTGAATATCAGTTGCAATAAGTAGTAATTCATTGTATTACAATCTGGACAACAAAGCATCCGCATAAAGTTTTTTCAAAGTGCTATAAAATCTTAAATTGTCAATTACATGTTTGTAGTACTTCTAAATCAGTAATAAGCTTTGATTCAGTTAATTGAAAAACTTACAAGTTTTCAATGAGTTCATCTTTTGTCTTTTGTTTCTTTTTCTTTTTTGTTTTCCCTTTATTTTCATCAACTATTTCTAACTCATTTTGCCGGTTGCGCTCTGTAAAACAAAATCAAAGAACATATCAATCAATAATCTGTAATATTATTACATCACTAACTTGGAATCTTAACTTGAACTTGTATACCTGCCTGTAAAAAAAACAACTTTCATCTGAGTTACACTCTAAATGCAAGATAGCTACTTCAAAATATACAGGTTAGAACGATAATAAAGTCATTTCATTCTCAAAAGGTAAAAAAGGACCATGAAACTTTGGATTTTAACTTAGAAACAATTTTAACCTGTAATCATTAACCCTAAAAAAACTTGTTTAAATAAAAGAAACAGAAATACTTGAATGAATATTAGCTTCCAGTAAAAAGAAAATCATACAAACCCTCTATAATTTTCTGTTTCTGTTTATTACTCTTTTTATATTTGGTATCATCTGGATCAAATGTGTTGGCAAGCTTGGTTTCATCAACATCTTTCTGTAAACCTTCACCCTTGCGTAGACTCTCAAGCTAGTTAATATAGAGAATTAATTCTTCTACTTATTTTTCACTAAAATTTGATACACTGAATTCAGTTTAAATACCAGTACACAACATTTAAACTTATACTAATATTTCAGAAAAAATTTCATTTAAATAGTAAAAGTTACGCTTTCAGTATTAACTAGAAATGTGTCCATAGGACACGGATGCCCCCACACGCCACTGTTCTGTCAATCTTATTACTCTAGGTCAAATATTTTTTAGACTACATGTGCCACAAGTTGAAAACTAAAAATCAACAAAGGGCCATAATTCTGTAAAATTTGGTCGCGGCAAAAATTCCTTCCTTTACTACCATCTACACATTTAGGTTGTTCATCCCTGGAAGTTAAAAGCAAAATCTGCCAATCCCGTTTAAGAGGAGTTGCCGTTCACAAAAATTTCTACATAGTATAATAGTGAAAAAAATCAACAAAAGGGCCATAATTCTGTTAAATTTGGTCGCAGCAAAAAATTCCTTCCTTTACTACCATCTACACATTAAGGTTGTTTCATCCCTGGAAGTAAAAGCAAAATCTGCCATCCGGTTTTTAAAAGGAGTTGCATTCACAAAAATTTCTACATAGTATATAGTGAAAAATTAAACAAAGGGCCATAATTCTGTTAAATTTGGTCGCAGCGAAAATTCCTTCCTTTAACTACCAATCTACACATTAAGGTTTGTTCATCATCCCTATAAGTTTAAGCAAAATCTGCCATCCGGTTAAAGAGGAGTTGCGTTCACAAAATTTCTACATAGTATATAGTGAAAAAATCAACAAAGGGCCATAATTCTTGTTAAATTTGGTTGCAGCAAAAATTCCTTCCTTTACTACCATCTACACACATTAAGGTTGTTCATCCCTGTAAGTTTAAGCAAAATCTGCCATCCGGTTTAAGAGGAGTTGCGTTCACAAAATTTCTAACATAGTATATAGTGTAAAAATCAACAAAGGGCCATAATTCTGTTAAATTTGGTCGCAGCAAAAATTCCTTCCTTTACTACCATCTACACATTAAGGTTGTTCATCCCTGTAAGTTTAAGCAAAATCTGCCATCCGGTTTAAGAGGAGTTGCGTTCACAAGATTTCGGGACGTACGGACAGACAGACGTACAGACGGACGGAAAGACGGACGGACAGACGGACGGACAAGTGCAACGCTATATGCTCCCACTTTGTGGGGGCATAAAAATTCTCTTTATATTTATTTGTTTTGTTATACAGCACACCAACACAAGGCATATGGCCCCCAAACAGGAATGATGATTTTTGGCTAATCTCTGGTATTATAAACTTAAAACAAAACACAAAAGGTCAAAACCACCTCACCTGCTGAAGCTAAGGGGTGCATAGACTCTAGCAATTTGAACTCATTTAGTCATCTCTTACGATCATGCAAGGATAAACAGCAATTATGATGCAACCTCTTAGCCTCAAGGGGAATTTAGAATTCTAGAGTTTTTCTAAGTTAATGCAAGGCCTTCTATTACTTTGATAGAAGGTGGGTCTTTCATCGTTGTAGGACGCTGATGGTAGGTATCAACCAGAAAGTGTATATAGAATACCAAACAGACAGGGTATATTGGTACCAGCCAGAAAGGATGTATACACAACAACCAGAAAGATATATACTGTATGTATCAACCTGAAATGGTATATAGAATACTAAGTAACCAACCAGATGGTTTATAGGCATCAACCAGAGAAGGTATATAGATACCAACCAGAGGGTAAATAGATACCAACCAGAGAGGGTATATAGGTACCAACCAGAGAGGGAAGATAGATACCAACCACAGGGTATATAGATACCAACCAGAGAGGGAAGATAGATATCAACCAGAGAGGGTATATATGTACCAACCAGAGGGTATATAGATACCAACCAGAGAGGGTATATAGATACCAACCAGAAAGGGTATATAGATACCAACCAGGGAGGGTATATAGATACCAACCAGAGGGTATAAAGATACCAACCAGAGAGGGTATATAGATACCAACCAGAGGGTAAATAGGTACCAACCAGAGAGGGTAATGGTATATAGATACCAACCAGAGAAGAATGGAATAGAAAGCACTAAAAGTAGCTGTGTGGTCTAGTACATGTTGCTGGGATTTGACATGGCTACCAGATCAAACTGAAACTTCTGTTTATAGTTTTAAGTAATATAACATCAAATATTAAGCAAATACAAGCATCAACGAGCATATTTCAATGATATCAGCCTCTTCTTACATCTTTTCATTATGTCAATTAAGCATATATGACCAAGAGCAAAGAAGTCTTGGCAACTGACAGCATGATTAAACATCATCTGGGATGAAGTCTGCTGATATAAAACAAGTTACAATGTATTAATGAGAAGATCTGTAACTCTTTTCTTGAAAATATTTAATTTCAATTTATTGGATTTTATATCACACAGACCTAGTAAAAGTGGAGGAAGGAAGGCCCCAAGGGCCCCATAGTGAATTTTCAGGCAAAAAGCCAGACCTGAGAAACGCCAAACTTCCTTTAGCTAGCTGGATAGTTTATCACATGAAAAAAACTCAATATCCCTGGCGGGTTACAAACCCACAACCATCAGGTGCAAGTAAGGGATTGAAATCCTTAGCAACCTGGGCACAGAGGTCATATTTCTTGAAATAATACATTTCTAGGGAAAAACTGCAGTAACTTATATATAATAAAGAAGGACATACAAGTTTTTCCATCTACAAGTTTTTCCATCAACCCTCTATTTTCATCAAGCTGTACTCAATACTTTATGCGCCAGAATTAATATATTGTCGCATTTCGCGCCATTGGCGAGCGACAGCGGGAACCCTGGCAATGTGCATATATTAACATAATCACTCTCATCTCATGAAAATGGAGAACAGTTCTAATTCTTTTCTATTTACTGTAATCAATAACTTTAAAACAGTAGAATGGAAAATCTTTTTTAAAGTTTGAATGGAGAATCTAAGTGAAATATACAGACCACTGAATCATCACCCTTTTTCTTTTTCTTCTTCTTTTCTACTTTGGCTTCACTGTAAATATAGATTACTTAGAAAATAAAACAGTGATCAATGTATGTATCAATATATGACATCTTACAGTTAACATACATGTACATATATATATTCAAATAAAAAGTGGCACAAGAAAATGGCTATGTAAAGGAAAAATATTAATGACTCAATAAAAAAAGTGAACTTATTTGGTTTCAAATAAAAACAACAATAAAAAACATTCTTTGGCAGAAAATTATGACAAAATAAGTTTTAAAGTTCAATTTGCTGATGCTGTGTCTTCCTACAGCTCAAGGAGACTTAAAATAAATAAACTGGATGAAAATTCAATACTGAGATAAGTTTACCAAGCATAACCAGTCATAATTTTTAAAACAAATCAAATGTAAATCAAGCAAATATGAAATATTTTTTTGTATATTGTATATTGTCTTAAGATTCAAACGTACATGTATCTCACAAGAGTCACTATTTTTTAGTAAAAATTCTCTCGCTAGAGGTATTGAGGTAAATTCTTTCATATGCTTTGAGGACTTTACACATTCTTTGTAATCTGTACTGCATATGGAGAACAATCATATACATATATATGCAATTACCTGAGACTCTGACCAACAGCTTGCTGTAGTAATTGATTAAACTTGTTACTTCCTCCATCCATTGTGGCTAGAATAAAGTTAAAAAATATATTTAGAAGGCTATTTATTTTCAGAAATTCATAGTAAAATCTCTAAAAATATTCCCTTATAAATGAGCTATGGCCATTGCATTTTCAAATAGCTTGAAAATAAACAGAATTTTCATAGTAGAAGCAAGAATATACATGATCAATCAAATTTTAAGTGGTAAAATCTGCAGTGAACATTTTCATATGTTTTTATTGTACAATTTCTTGCTCTTATATTACGCCACTCGTGAGAATACTGTTTTTAAAGCCCACTCGATGAAATAAAATTTCATCTTACACACAAACAAACAAATATCCTCTATATAATCTTTCTCTGCTCTTTGAAAAATGATTACACTTTCTTGTCTTAAACATAACAGGATGTGATAATAAAATCAAGTCTTCTGACTTCAAGTTCAACTTTGGTCTCTTGATTAAACAGGGAAAGTCAACTTACACATTGGTATGTCCTCCATTTTCTTTCCAGATTTCGGCCTTTTAGTCTTTTTGGGCCTCTCCACTAAAGCCCCTGTTTTAAAAAAAATGAAAAGAGTTACGATATGAAAGTATTAAGTAATGCATTGAAGCAGTGCTGTATTTTTTCCTTTGAACATCGGTGACATTAACATGATTATTAAGTTCTGAGTAAATCAGTTATTGTGTAATCTAACCAAAGTCCAGCTTCATTTTTATCCCAAAAAGTACATATTTCCTCAATTCCCAACCCCCTCGCCCCTACCCATTTCTCCATTTTCCAAGTTCTAAAATTACCTCACAAAGTCATAGATTTTTTTAACTTCATATGAAGGATTAAGTAGTTGGTATAATATGACAATGTCCAAAAATAAATGTCTACATTTCAGCACTATAAATGGATGCAAATTAGTATAAAAGTTAAAACAAGCATTCATTAACAAGATAAAATGGACTAAATGGTTGACTATGGACTCCATCAATTTCATTTCTTCGGAACCCACTGTACATATTCTATTCATTTTTTAACTGATGGTGGTTTATTCACAAATTTGACAACCTAGCTAACAATCGTTTTCTAGTACGTTCTGCACATAGCTCTGGGGAATTAACATACATGTAAATGGTGTGTAATAGCAGAGACATAGATAACAGAGATAAGCAGCTCCTATATACTCCATTGAAATATCACTCATGCCTATAAAAAAGTGGAAAATTAGGCATTTTGTAGCAAATAAAACTTAATGGATGTACATATGATCCTTTAATATTATATACCATTTGAAAGGTAAAACTCTTTCATCTATGGCTGCATGTTAAATATTGGTAACTTTCCCAATGCCTTTCACTTAGAAAAACATGGCAGAACATACCCACTGAAGCCCAGTTTTTTATCATATGAATAGTTTGTAACAAAAAATATTAAGTAGTTCTCTTTAAAAAATGATACAACATTTATTTAAATGGGAACTGTAAATATTTTTACCTGCAGCCATAGACAAATGCATAAGCTTTCAGAAAATGTATTATTTTACCGATTTTGATATCTGGTTAAAAAGTTTTACTTGCTACAAGTTTTTGGTAAAGTAGGCACGCGTGATATTTTAACTGGCTAGGAAGTAGCCTATCTCTGTTATCTATGTCTCTGGTAATAGCGCCAGTGGTAAGTATGAATTTGGCCTTTTTTTGGATTAAAATGGAATAAAACATTTAAATTAAAAAAAACATGATTTAATATCATTGTACAAATTATTCCACATGCCAAAAAATATAGGTAATGTAAGTACACAATTTTAAGCATAAAATATATCTTATTTAATTTATCTCACATCAAGTTTTTCCAACTCAAACAGTAAAATCACAGGGATACTTAGAGAAAGTTAGACGCTTTGATCTGATAGACCCCCCCCTCCCCCAGTCCCTGTTACAACCCCCCAGAAAATGATCTAAAGTCAATATCAACATTTAGCTTTCATATAAAGCAGTCAGAGTGTTAAGTATTAATTTTGTTTTACACAAACACTGAAACAGCCGGTAACGTTATATCTGACAAGATCTGATTCACATAAACACTGAAATTTCCATGACTGAATTGCTATAAAAAGAGGCAATGATGCGTAAAAAATACCATTGCATCTGTAAAACCTAAACGATCAATGACACTCACCAATGAAAATCCAGTCCAAATTTAATTTATATCATAGCTAGACAAAAAAATATATAACAGGTACTTTCTTCATCACTGCAACACAACTTATATACCCGAAAAGGTTTCTACCTAAATATCGGTAGACGAACAATCTTTAATCAAGACATAGATAACAAGATAAGCACTCTATTACTTCCATTGAAATATCAACTCATGCCTATTAAAAGTGAAAATTTAGGCATTTGTTGTAGCAAATATAAATCTTGAATGGATGTAGCAATGATCCTTTAATATTAATACCATTTGAAAGGTAAATCTTCATCTATGGCTGCAGTTAAAATATTGGTAAATCCTTTCAAGCCTTTACTTAGAAAAGCATGGCGAGAACATACCCACTGTGAGGCGCAGTTTTTTATCATATGAATAGTTTTGTAACAAAAAAATATTAAGTAGTTCTCTTTAAAAAAATGATACAACATTTATTTAAAAACAATGGGAACTGTAAATATTTTTACCTGCAGCCATAGACAAATTGGCATAAGCGTTTCAGAAAATGTATTATTTTACCGATTTTGATATCTGGTTAAAATAAGTTTTAACTTGCTACAAGTTTTTGGTAAAGTAGGCACGCGTGATATTTTAACTGGCTAGGAAGTAGCCTATCTCTGTTATCTATGTCTCTGTTTAAAAATGATAAAAGTAGAGTATTACTACTACCCAAATAAGGTATTTGTTCTGGAGGCCATTCGTGAGAGAAAATGAAAATTTCCCCTAACATAAGCACTGAAATATAACTCCTACACATAGTGACGACTGACTTTTTAAATTAATTATTTTAGAAATTCAGATCTCATCTTTTATAAATACAGAGGAAAATCTAATGATACAAGTTCTCTGAAAAATTTTTCATTGTTTAATGACAGAAACCTTTTGACATAACATGCTCCTATTAAAGCAAAGAAAATAAGGCCTCTACAGTCCTGCCCTGTACATGATACCTTCTACTTTTGAGAAAAATCTAATTTATAAAAAAGAAAATGATGTTAATAAGTTCTAAAAATAGAAATAGTGTTAACTGGGAAAATTACAGAACAATCAAGAAACAGTAGTCACTAAAATCAAGAAACAATCAATTAAAAATATTTCTTTGGACAGATGCTCTGGAGGATGTAAACAGGTCTGATTTTGGAAGACTATAATAAGCCGTTTTTTAACCAACAAAAGTGTATCTACTGTGCTCAAAAAAACTTTGTACTATGTGAAAATGAAATTGTTCTTTTTCCTGATCAGGATAGAAGATTAGTAATGTTTTTAATGATTTATATATAAATGTTGCAAAAAATATTGGTGATAGCAATGTACACATTGTAATGATAGTTCATGTAAGTGTAAGTAAAATCAAGGGAAACATCTAATATATCTGATGAACTAGTTTTTAAACCTGTTTCTGAAAAATTTTGTCAAAAAAAACAAATAGGAAATATGAGTATCAAAAAGGCTAACAGGCTATGATAGTATTTCAGTTAAAATGTTAAAATTGCCTCTCCTGATTATTACAAAACCACTAACAGATATGATAAATAGATGCATACAAGTATCGTTATTTCCAGATAATATGAAAAAAGCTCAAGTTGTACCCATTCATAAGAAAAATAGTATTTTAGACAAGAGCAATTACAGACCGCTAGTCAGTCTTTTACCTGTAATGTCTAAGGTTTTGAGAGAGAGCCATTTTGAAACAATTGATTGTCCACATTTTTGATAACATTTTTAATCCCTTTCTTAGTGCTTTTTAGACCTGGTTATGGTTGCAATACAGCTCTTTTAAAAATTGTTGAAGACTGGAAGTATGATTCTCTGGACTAAAAACCAGTATCTGGCAGCTATCGCTAATGGATCTCTCAAAAGCCTTCGACTGCTTGCCTCTATGATTTATTATTACTAAAAATGAAATTTTATGGTAATGTCTGAACAATCACTCAATCTTATTAAAAGTTATCTTGTCTAATAGCAACAATGTGTTAAGATTAGAAAATATATGTAGTGATTATCAAAACATAATAAAGGCGTCCCACAAGGCTCAAATATTTGGACCGATTTTGTTGTTAATATTTTTATAAAGCGACATTTTCTTTTTCATAAATAAAAGTCAACTGTATTAACTATGCGGATGATAACACTCTTTCTTACTCAATGTCACTTGTAAAACAGACTTGTAAGCACTTTAGAAAAAGATAGTTTAACTTTGATAGACTGGTTCTCAAAAAATCAAATGAAAAGGCTAACCTGAGAAGTGTTCTCAGGGGCAATAGCTCTTGGGAAGAAAAAGCCACCAGCAGAAAATTAATTTTAAATTCAAAAATATAGAAATATCATGTGACGATGAAGTAAAGCTGCTTGGTGTAAACTTAGATTTTTAATGTTAAATTTTAAATTCACATGTGTCAAATATATGTAGGAAAAGCCTCTAAACAACTGAATGTACTAAAGAGAATTGGTAACATCTTAATAGGTAAAGCAGACTCACAATATACTACTCTTTTTGTCATGTCAAACTTTAATTATTGTCCTCTTACATTGGCATTTTACCAATGAATCAAACACCTAGGAATAATAGAAAAAATTCAGGAAAAGAGCTTTGAGATTTATTTTATTGATGATTTTAAAAACAGTAACTATGATCAACTACTTGAGAAGTCTGGCCTTATTTTCTTTGAAAGTTAGGAGATTAAGAGCAATTTGCTTTAGAAACATACAAAATTCTAAATGATATGTCTCCTGTTTATTTAAATGATTTACTACATCTTAAAACATTCGAAATAGTAATTTTTAGAACACACCAATATTGTTGAGGTACCTTTACCAAGAACTGACAGATATGGTAAGAAAATCTTTCCGGTATGCCGCTGCCAAACTTTGGAATCAACTTCCAGATAATTTTAGACAAACTTCATCTTTTAACCATTTTAGATTCATTGATAAATACTGGCCAGGGGAGAACTGGGCTCCTGTAGCTTCATGTAATACCACATAACGCATGTACATCATCAAAAAGAAAAAAAACCAAAATGTTGGCAGCGACATGCTGGATGTTTCAATTTTTTTAGTTACTTTTGCTTGGCATTTGTTTTATAACTGTGCTTGATATTGAGCTGCTTTTGTGTGCTTTTAATGGTGATAGATTTATTTCTATTTTAAGTGCTATGCTTTTTGTGTGCTTTTATTGTAATAGATTTATTTCTATTTTTTATGTGCTATGTATCATCTTTTATATACAGGTATAACTTGAATGTTTGTGTGATGTTAATGTCAGGATTGATGTTCATTATGCATATTTTAACCTTGTCTTTCTATTGCTTAGTCCTAACATGTTTTATATTTATTTATTTATTTATATATAATTTTGCTCTTTTTATAAGTTGGTTTGTCAATGCATTTTATTGTGTGTATGCATGCCTGATGTTCCTCTGCTTAAATGTTTATGTGTCTTATATAAGCTGTGATGTGTGATCTTAACTTTTAGTATATATATTAATGGTTTTTTATTATTAGATCTAATATGTATTACCTCTTACTTTTGTATGCTATTGATGAATGCTAGTACAGTGCTGTTTGTATACTTTATTTGTTAATGCAATGCTATTTGTCTAATTTTATCATAACCATTTTGTCATTTATCATATCTTAAACATGTGTTTTATATTATTGTAGTCGGTGTAAAAAGCTCATCAGAGCTTATGTTTATTGTTGATGTATCCGACTTATAAATAAAATTTACTTTACTTGACTTGACTTGAGTATAGCACATGAACATCAATGGTATGATTGGGAATGCTAAACAAAATTAAAATATTGGCTAGTAGTTTGATATTGAAATCCAACTGACATAGTAACCGCAGTAATTGTCATTTATTATATACATAGATGAAATAAATGATAACAACATTTTTTATGCTAAAAAATTAGGATGATTTATTTATTTAAAATTATCTGGGAATTTTTATTCAGGTTCAGTCTTGTCAACAAACTTGAATAAAATGGTTAGTTATTGACAAGTGTCCATTTGTTTGGCACATACGTTGATGACAGTAATCTATTAAACTTTTTTCATCAAATACGAGGTGAATGACAATAAATTCGGTCATAAAAGGGGGAAATGTGCCAACTTTTTTTAAAATGAGAACACAAAATACCTTCGTCCGCCATGTTTGTTTACAAGTCATACTGCAGGTGGGGGGAAAATCCCGGGATCCGGGATCCGGGACGCCCGGGATCCGGGATCGTATTAGATATATAGGGAAAACGAATAAACTATATTTGTGTTGATTATCGTCGTAATGAAAGGCGGTTAAACGATAACTTTTTATTTTTTATTGTATGTAATGAATGGTAAATTAATTTAACTTAAGATTTAAATATATTTATTTATTAACAAACTTAAAATGCGGAAATCACAATACTTGTAATTATATGCCTAATTGAAAAAAATCAAAGTTTTTGTTAATACAATAATTGGTTAAATTTTATGTTCATGTATTTAAATATTATTTTTAGAAAAGATCATAAGATATACTTATCATAATTGATAACAAAAAAAACAAACTTTTGAGATGTATGACAGGTGGTCAATTCTCTGTACTGTTTAATAGATCCCGGCTTTACTGAAAGCAAGATGGTAATGGTAAATTTCTCGGGATATGATCCCGGCTTTTCTAAATACGATGTCCCGGGATCTCTTATATATCTAAGTAGGAAAATCAACGTTTTTTTTGCGACCGTTATGCTTGAGTATTTATAAATAATTATTGTAAATACAAGTCCGACTTGCTATGCTTATTTTAAGTACAAGACGTTGTAAAATACTATATAAAATGCTGATTTATCTGCATATTAACAAATGTCTCGAACATCACGTTGTTGTTTTTTTAATGATATATACTATACCAGAAGGCTTTCACGTTGCAAAAAAAAAGGAATACAAATGTAAAACATAAGGTATATAGTACCAGGTACGTATATACGTTAATATACGTACCTGATAGTACAGATGTATAAACAATTAATCAAGATCCATGGATCGTATAAAAATAACATGTTTCACATATTAACAGATATGAATGTCTAAAATGAATATTTTTATAAGAAGAACAAATTATTTATCTATGCATATTTTGGCGATTTAATTATAAAATGAAAAGGAACGTAACTGTAGCGGACCTCATTTTCCTTATAAATATGCCCTGTACAGGACCAAAAACGTGCCGTCCCTGATGTTAATAAACATTGGTGTATTGAAGGTGTCTAGTGATATGGCCAATAGACCGAATGAGAATTTTACTCTTTATCTGTACGTCTAATTCGATCCCGGCTTTTTCTGAAATCTATATTATTGAACTGGTCATTTCCCGGGATCCATACATGTTTTAATACGATCCCGGCTTTTTCTGAAATCTATATTATTGAACTGGTCATTTCCCGGGATCCATATATGTTTTAATACGATCCAGGCTTTTCTGAAATCTATATTATTGAACTGGTCATTTCCCGGGATCCATATATGTTTTAATACGATCCCGGCTTTTCTGAAAATCTATATTATTGAACTGGTCATTTCCCGGGATCCCTATATGTTTTAATACGATCCCGGCTTTTTCTGAAATCTATCTTCTTGGGCTTGTCAATTCCCTCGATCCATATATATTTTAATACGATCCCGGCTTTTGTGGCTACAACTTTTCTTATAACATTGAAAATAGTAATTCACGTTACATAACTTGATGAACATTTAGATGTGCAAGATTATTCAATCATGGTAAATGTAAAATATAATGATGATAGAATTTAAAAAAAAATCAACACCTTAATTCGATTAATATTTTATGCTAAAACTTAATATTTGAAAATACTGATAATTTCTCTTTCTGAATTTAAAATAAACATATTTAATACAGACATATAAGATATATTATCTTTACACACGATATCAGTAAAACACAGTATGAAACACTGTCATGAAACGGCAATTTTAAAAGAAAAGACCCAAAATAACTTGACCAATTATAGGGAATACAGCTTCCTAAACAAAGTGTTTGCTTTCATTTCAATAAGTTTATGCAAAAATGGGGCTTTTTGGGGGATATATTTTAAAGCGTCAGGTCAAACAAAACATCAACATACAATTTAAAAAAAAAAACAATTTTATATAAATATCAATAAAATTTATGAATATGTGACTTTTTCATCTCGTGGTATAAAAGTCGCCATATCATGAGTTATAGCAATTATAAGATGAAAAACATTTTAAGAAAATGCTTTTATTTTTGCAGGTTTTTTTTCTTATATATAGTGGCGATGAACACTTAAATGCTTTTGCCAATAAAAAAAGTTTGAGTCTTGCAAAAAAATATTGTGTCACACAGCGGATTAATTGAGTAGAGATAAAAGGCATCATCATAAAATTATACGTACTTCACTTCACAGTTTAATGCACTGCATATTTCATGAAAGGTACAATGAAAGATATTGAATTTTTTCAACTTAATATCTTTATATTTTTCATATTTTGCTTATTAGATATTGTAAAAGAAAATATGTTTCTTCATTTAACGTATAAAACAAGGTGAAAAACGTACACAGAAATTTCGTTAATAATTGAAAAATAATTATTTCTGTAACAACTGTGTTTATTAATACCATACAGTTGGTAGTCATTCTTATGAGACATGGCCAATGTCATAAAGCACCTAGAATGATCATAATTAAATAACTAGCACAAGTGACGTAATCTGATGTAATTAATGTTATGCACCCTGTTGATTTATGATATTATGGCCCTGTGCCGCATTATGGTATATTCAACATATGACCCTGTTAATTGTCCCAGCGTCGCTCTTTGTATTAATGAAATAAATTCTGTGACAGTAAAGATTATAATTAGTTTACATAAATACGTCTGCAAAATGTCTCTGAGTCAATTATACATATATAATATTATAAATATATATTAAGCAATTTATTACGAAGCACAGATTAACCACAAGCATTTTTAATAAAAATTGTGAAAATGTATGTACAAGGCAATAATATTTTTACGTTTATAATACTTTTATATATTTTTTATAAGAATAGATTTGTAATATCAACACAAATCTTATTTTCGTCTATTGTGAATCTTAATATTTGAAAAAAGTCATTGCCACATGGTTTTCGATTTTTCAGGAACGTTTATATAATTATAATATACATTCCTGGTTCTTTGTAAGAGTTCTATCCCGCATAAAGAAATACAATCAATCTGTATATGGTAATAAATACGACAAAATCATGCATTAATCGCATATATCACGTAGATTATTACTTGAATCTTTTCCATTTTTCGCAAGTTTGATTTTCTTGAAATGTTTTCGTTTACCTGGAGGAATGCAGCTTTGAATTGATTTAATGTGTTGAAACATGTGTTTATTTATATGTCTGTATATGTGATTTTTTTGTAACGAAAGGTATTTAGATATATTGCCTGAACATTAGAGACGATTTGTAACTAGATTAAGAACTTCTGCACACAACCGAAGAATACAAACTGGCAGACACGCTAGAAATAGAATACCAATGCTGCCAATGTTGTTCTTTAAGAGACTTAGAAGTCGAATTTCATTTTGATCTTATATGTCCATGTTATACAAATATTCGTAACATTTAAAGATATTATTTTGTTAACCCAAGTATGTACAAATTTATTGCATTACTGCAAAGTAATAACATATAATAATGATGACGATGATGATGATGATAGACACAGCTTGTCTAGTACGATCCCGGCTTTTCGTAATGTTATCCTGCTTGGATCTCTATTTATCTAATACAATTCCGGCTATTCTTCAAATGTGATATGGCAGACGGTCAATTCCCGGTATCTCTCTTTGTGTAATACGATCCGGCTTTTCTGAATGTGACATGGCAGTGGACAAATCCCGGGATCTCTATATATCTAATACGATCCCGGCTTTTCTGAATGTCATATGGCAGACGGTCAATTCCCGGGATCTCTATATACAAATGTATCTAATACTATCCCGGCTTTTCTGAATATGACATGGCAGTGGTTAATTCCCGGGATCTCTATATATCTAATACTATCCCGGCTTTTCTGAATGTGATTATTATATGTTAGATCAAAGATATTCTGTTTAAAATATTGTACACGTATCGTAATGATTTCATAGGGAAAATGATAATCTGTCCTATTGAAACGTTTGTTTTAATATTTTAAAGATACAATATACTCATATATTGATAGGAGTAAAATGATTTGAACATTACATGACTGATTCTGTTTAACAAGTGGAAATTACTATAATAATTTATATCAAAGTAGGGAAATCAAAATCCAGTGATTTATATAAAAGGTCATCTTGTTCCGTGACAAATCAAACAAAATGTATTTTAATAAAATAAAAAAACCCGCTTAATGTCACTTTACGTAGCAATCACGCTTTGGTTCACCAGACAGGTGTCTCTCATCTCTCATAATATTTATTATAAAAGTGCACGTGTCATTTGTGTCAATATCTCGAAACTAATATACAATGACTTCTACTGCCAGCACATGTACTTACAATATTAAATAAGATTATCGGTGTGTGACATATTCTGAGGTCAATTAATAAAAATGATAATAATAATAATAAAAATAATAATAATAATTAAACAACAATTATAATAATAATCTAAACTTTATTTTTGTACAAATTGTAGTATTTTTAGTACGGCTGTTATTAATTAAACGTTTCCATTATCAAACATATGAAATAACCAACCAAGACACATGTATAAAGAATTACAGTACATGCGAGTCTCAACGAAAATCATTCAAATACAAATATATATCATAGCCATCAACGATAAAAAACATCATTAAAATTGTCAACAAGCATATCACAAGCATATCTTTGACAAAAGGCATGAAATAATCGATAATTTATCGATGACGGGTGGTCAATTCCCGGGATTACTATATGTTTAATACGATCCCGGATCCCGGCTTTTCTATAGGCGATCCCGGGATTTTCCCCCCACCCATACTGCAGTAAAGATAATGAAGGCATTTCATTGGTTTATTGAAATTAATTGGTATGACTAAAACTTTTAACGGAGTTTTTGTATTACTAAAACTTGTAACGGAGTTTTGGGCACAGTGGTGTGTATATAGAGGATATTTGTTTAGTTCAGTG